CTGAGGGGTCCCCATCCCATACCAGGCACCCTGCTCAGGGTTCCAGTGCCAGGTATAGAAGTCCCCATAACTTCTGGATGGAAAAACCAGCAGGAACTGAGGCTCAGGGAGACTGAGGTGGCTGGAGCCCTAGGCAGCTCCTCTTAAAGGGCCGCACACGGACTTATTAGACTCACTCCCTCTAAGCTTGGAGAGGAGGCAGCTCCAGGGCCGCCAGAGACATACAGAGAAGAACTGAGCTGTTTGGCATTGGAGCGAGGGCTGAAGAGGCAGCTTTCTTCTGGACAGATGTGCTGTCAGAGGCTTTTGTTCCTTTGGTGAGCCCTTCCCTGGGGCAGCAGATGGCCACCATTTCCAGGCCTCCAGCAACCTGGCTCACACTGGTTGCCCCGCCCTGGTGGTTCTCTGAGGCCCTGCCCCACCCAGCTTTCAGGCCCACCCAAGCTGTTCCAGTTGCTTAACCATAGGATTGGCCTGGCTTGGATCCTGCTTCAGGTTTTCCTAAATTCTTTCAAACAAGCAGCATCTGGTCTCAGCTAGCCCCATACTTCTCGTTAAGTAATACATAGAAACACAGGGAGGTAACCAAAATGAGGAGACAAAGAAACAGGTCCCAGCCCTGGCCAGTTTGGCTCAGCGGTTAGAGCGTCGGCCTGCGGTCCGGAGAGACCCGGGTTCGGTTCCCGCTAAGGGCACGTACTTCGGTTGCAGTTTGTCCCCGGCCCTGGTTGATCGTGCGGGTGGCAGCCACTCGATGTGTCCCTTCACGTCGATGTTTCTCACTCTCTCTCCCTTCCTCTCTCTCCCTCCCACTCTATCTGTACAAAAAAAAAATGGAAAAATATCCTCGGGTGAGGATAAAAAAAAAAAAAAAAAAGAAACAGGTCCCAAATGAAAGAACAGAACAACACCCCAAGAAAAGAATAAGCGAAATGGAGATAAGCAACCTAACAGATGCTGAGTTCAAAACACTGCTTATAAGGATGCTCAATGAACTTAGTGAGAACCTCAGTGAACTTAGTGAGGGCCTCAAGAGCATAAAAAGGGACCAGTCAGAAATGAAGGAGGCACTAACTGAAATAAAGAATAATTTACACAGATTCAATAGTAGAATAGGTAAAGCCAAGAAGCAAACCATCAATTTGGAACATAAGGAAGCAAAAAACACCCAATCAAAACAGCAAAAAGAAAAAAGAATCCAAAACAATGAGGATAGTGTAAGGAGCCTCTGGGACAATTTTGAGCGTGCCAAAATTCGCATCTTGGGGTGCCAGAAGAAGAGAGAGAACAAGAAATTGAAAACCTCTTTGAAACAATAATGGCAGAAAACTTCCCTAACTTGGTGAAGGAAACAGACATACAAGTCCAGGAAGCACAGAGAGGTCCCAAACAAGATGAACCCCAAGAGGCCCACACCAAGACACATCATCATCAAAATGCAAAAGGTTCAAGACAGAGAGACTCTTAAAAGCAGCAAGAGAAAAGCATTTAGGAACCCCCATAAGACTGTCACCTGATTTCTCAAGAGAAACTTTGCAGGCCAGAAGGGAATGGCAAGAAATATTCAGAGTGATGAAAAGCAAGAACCTTCAACCAAGATTACTCTATCCTGCAAAGCTGTCACTTAGAATCGATGGCCATATAAAGAGTTTCTCAGACAAGGAAAAGCTAAAGGAATTCATCACCACCAAACCGTTATATGAAATGTTGAAGGGTCTTTTTGAAGAAAAAGATAAACTATATGAACAAACAAAATGACAATGAATACAGATTTATCAGCAATGGAATCTACAAACAAAATGAACAGGCAGAACAGAAATATTCTCATAGACACAAAGAACATTTTGTTGGTTGCTAGATGGGAGGGGGGGTTAGGGGAATGGATGAAAAAGGTGAAGGTATTAAGAAGAACAAATTGGTTGCTAGACTGACAAACCTCAAAGGGAAGGGGGTTGGGGGGTGGGAAGAAATAAACCAAAGAACATATATGCATATGTGCATAACCAATGGACACAAGAGTGTGGGAAAAGGCAGGAGGAGGGGGGGGGTCAATGGGGGAAAAATGAGGAACATCTGTGTAATACATTCAACAATAAAGATAAAAAAATTTTTTAAAAAAAAAGAATGAACTGGTCAATAACTGGTGTTGGGACAACTGGTATTCTTATGAAAAAAAATTGGATCCCTATCTCCCACTGTAAACAACTTAATTACCTTATTTAAAGAGTTACACATGAAAAGCAAATTATAAATGCCTCTACAAGAAAATATGATTCTAGAAGAATTTCTTTTCAAATGTGTAATTAGTCCTGGCTGGTGTAGCTCAGTTGGTTGGTTGTTGCCCAGAGGGGTTGCTGGTTGAATAACCTGTTAAGGGCACATGCCCCGGTTTTGGGCTCAATCCCCAGTAGGGAGTGTGCAAGAAGCAGCCCGATCTGTGTGTTGCTCTAACAATGATGTTTCTCTATGTCTTTCCCTCTCCCTTCTTCTCTAAAAATCAATTAAAAAATTTTTTTTTAAATAAAATGTGTAATCAAAAGAAAAAAATGACAAATTCAACTAATCAAAGTTCACTGTTTCTGAAGAAGACAAGCCACAGACTAGGAGAAAATATCTGTAAAAGACATAGTATATTAAGGAACTATTAATCCAAAATATACAAAGAACTCTTAAAATTCAACAATAAGAAAACAACCTGATTTAAAAATAAGCAAAAGACCTAGACATCTCACCAAAGAAGATATACAGATGATAAATAAGCATATAAAATCCAAAACATTGACACCACAAAATGCTGGCAAAGATGTGGAGCAATCAGAACTTCCTATGGGAATGCAAAATGGTATATGTAGCTCTTTGGCAGACATTTTGACAGTTTCTTACAAACTAAACATATTCTTATAAGACCTAGCATTTGTGCTCCTTAATATGTCCCCAAAAGTTGAAATATATGTCCACCCAAAAACCTACACATAAATATTTATAGGATCTTTGTTCATAATTGCCATACATTTTCTTGGAAGCAACCAAAAAGTCAGCTAAGGATAAATAAACTGTGATACATTCATACAGTGAAATAATATTCATTGCTTTAAAGAAAAAGCTATTGTCCGGCCAATGTTGCTCAGTGGTTGAGCATCAACCCATACACTAAGAGGTCACCAGTTCGATTACTGGTCAGGACACATGCCCAGGTTGTGCGCCCAATCCCCAGTGGTGGGCATGCAGGAAGCGGCCAATTGATGTTCTTTCTCATCGATGTTTCTTTCTTTCTCTCCCTCTCCCTCTCTCTCTAAAATCAATCAAGGAAAACAAATTTTGTTTTAATAAAATAAAAAATAAAGAAAAAGGTATCAAACCATGAAGACACATGGAAAAAGCCTAAATGCATATTACTAAGTGAAAGAAGCCAATCTCAAAAGGCTACATACTCTGATTCCAACTATACAGCCTTCTGGAAAAGCTAAAACTATGGAGACGGTAAAAAGATCAGTGGTTACCAAGAGTCAAGGGGAGGGGATGGATAAACAGGTGGAGTACAAAGGATTTTTAGGGCAGTGAAACTCTTCTTTATGATACTATAATGGCTACATGTCATCATACTTTTGTCAAACCTTATAGAATGTACTACACCAGAGTGAACACTAACAGAAATTTCGGGTGACACTGATGTGTCACAGTAGATTCATTAATTTTAATAAATGTACCACACTGGTGTGGGATGTTGATAGTGGGGACAGGAGGTATATGGGAAATCTCTATACCTTCCACTCAAGTTTAAAACATAAAATTTATTTTAAATGTTAGTATTTCTGTTCATCAGATGACACCATAAAGAAGTGAAAAGACAAATCTTTTCTGGCAATAAGAAACGTGAAAAAAGTTCAACCTCCTTAGTGATTAGGGAAAGGCAAATTGAAATACCCTTCCCCATGAGATTCATTTTATAATCACTAGATTTGCAAAGATTAAGGAGTTTGGATAATACCAAGTGTTAGTGCATGTACAGTGCAATGGAAACTCAAATAATAGAGAACGAACACCAACTTTGGAAAAGTTTGGCACTGTTTTGTAATATCACTAATAAACCCATTACATGTTAAATAAAGTACATATATTTAGATGATAAACTATTTAAAATAAAGAGGGCATTGTTTTATATTTTTGCAAACCTCTTTAATTTCTGGCTTAATAGAAGACAGCTTGATTTTCATACTGCTTCCACACATTCCAGTAGCCAACAGTTTGGTGATATCATCACGCATCTTGTAGTCTCTAGAATACCTCACCTTGGAGACCTCCCAGACCACACTTTGGGAATTGCTGTGCTAAAGTAGGCTACCAACCATGAATGTCCAGTATGTTGTAGGTAGCAGTTATTTAAAGGGAAGATTGAAGAATGAAATTAAGACAGGATGTTAATTGAGAGTAAGAGCCTTTACGATGTAACAGTTGTGTTTAAATCTTATCCTTAGTTAGCAATTGTACTTCGCATGCTTGCTTCAGGAAGGAAACATAACTAATAAAGTTGCTTCTGTCTTCCCTTCTAAGGGGCAAATACTATTATGAAATTGAATACCTATCCCTCTAGTATGGAGGGTTTTTTTAGTGGGCCTTTTAAAACAAATCATATATATATGTTTTTGTGTATCTGTAAATAAGTGTGTGTGTGTGTTAAAATTTATATAAACAGTATCATAATCTGTTGTGTATCTTTTTATTTTAAAATATTTTGTGTAGCCATGGCCAGTTTGGCTTAGCGGTTGAGTGTTGGCCTGCGGACCAGAGAGTCCTGGGTTCGGTTCCCGCTAGGGGCACATACCACAAAAAAGTAATTAATTAATTTAATTTAATATTTTATGTATAAATATGTATTGTTAAACTGTTATGTAAGACAGTAATGGGCACAAATCTTAAGTTTTTAGGTAAAATTTTATCTTTTTTTTTCCTGTTAATTAAATTCCATTTTTCCTAAATTCATGTTGTATTTTCTCTTTCAGAATCTTTGAAAAATGGCTCTGTTATTGTTGGTGGGAATAAAGTTTATTCTTTTCAGAATAGAAAACACCCTGAAAAGATGGCTAAATTAGGTATGTTGATTTTTCTGATTTTTGTAATCACTGTTCACCTTTTTTAAGGTGTGTTTCACCATAATCCCCAAAAGAATGCATTCACTAAAAGAATGATGAGGGATATCATTGAATATTATATTATCTAGAATACTTAAAGTCATTAGTTTTTGTTTTTTCATGTTTGTCTTCTGTTCTCAGCTGGTTATAAGCTTCTCGTAGTAGGAACCCCTGTCTTCCTCTTCTTTCCACAACATCGATCATAGGTTCTTAACAAGTGTTTGTTAAGTAAATGAGACATATTATGAATGCATTGCATAAGAGTTTTACACTGTATATAAAAAAATATTATTTGTATTATAAAAAATTATGTATATAAAATTATTGGGAATGGGCTGTTCTAACATTTTCTTACCCAAGTTACCACATATAACAATTACACATGAACTACTGATTTTCAGAGAGTTAGACTGCAATAAATTACATATACCATTAAAATTAAACTGTCAATTTAATTCTGAAAAATTGAGATGGCACTATATTTGGATCCTGTGGTATGAAGCGTTATCACTTTTGAAAGCTTTGAGGAAAGAAAATAACATGTGAAAGCACTTGAGAATTAAGGCGGTCCTTAAGCATATGATGGTCTGGGAATACTTAAGAGTCAAGAGCTGGCCCAGCTGGCGGCGTGGCTCAGTGGTTGAGTGTCGATACATACACTAAGAGGTCACTGGTTCGATTCCCTGTCAGGGCACATGCCCAGGTGGTGGGCCAAATCCCCAGTGGGGAGCATGCAGGAGGCAGCCAGTCAATGTTCTCTCTCATCGATGTTTCTATCTCTCCCTTTCCCTTTCTCTCTCTCTAAAATCAATAAAGAAAAAAAAACTTTTTTTTTTTTTTTTTATCCTCACCCAAGGACATTTTTTTGTTCAGGTAGAGTGGGAGGGAGAGAGAGGAAGAGAGAGAGAGAGAGAGAAACATCGATGTGAAAGGGACACATCGAGTGGCTGCCACCCGCACGACCAACCAGGGCCGGGGACAAACTGCAACCAAGGTACATGCCCTTAGCGGGAACCGAACCCGGGTCTCTCTGGACTGCAGGCTGATGCTCTAACCGCTGAGCCAAACCGGCCAGGGCAAAAAAAAAACACTTTTTTTTTAAAAGAGTCAAGAGCTATAGAATAATAATTACTACCTGATAAAATGTAATGGTTGTATAAGAGGGCTTATAATCTATAATTATAAAGTACCAACATGCTTCATAAAGTGAAAATTACTCTTGTTAAGTGTTAACACTGGTAAGGAACATATAAGAAGTAATTATAAGACCTGATTATGAAAATAATATTCAGTCATTTGAAAAATTCAGTTTTTCTGAAAAATGTAATATTAAATACATCATTAATTTTGAACCTAACATTGTACATGTAATAATTTACATTAATTGATATGTTTATCTACATTAAGAAAGTAAAATTTTCTGATCTGTAAAAATGACTGAATTCTGTATAGCATCTCCAAGAAACCAGAGAATAAATGCTAATGTAGTTATTAGAGGAGGATCAGGTAGACACCAACACCAAAATGAAGCCTTAGGACAATGAAGCAGGACAAAAAACATTGGAGAAAGAAGAGAACTGCTCCGGCCGGTTTGGCTCAGGTTAGAGCGTCGGCCTGTGGTCCAGAGACACCCGGGTTCGGTTCCCACCAAGGGCATGTACCTCGGTTGCAGTTTGTCCCCGGCCCTGGTTGGGTTGTGTGGGTGGCAGCCACTCTATGTGTCCCTTTCACATCAATGTTTCTCTATCTCACTCTCTTCCTCTCTCTCCCTCCCACTCTATCTGAACAAAAAAATGAAAAAAATGTCCTCGGGTGAGGATGATAAAAAAAAAAAAAAGAGTTTCTTTACTTATAAGTATTACTGCTAATTGTGTTTACATCTAAATATATCAATAAAATAGAATGCCTTAATATTTTAAATAACTTATGATCTGCCAGAAAACCATATATTACCATGAGTATAAATGATGATTAGATATAATTGAGCTAACCTTGATATAGGGCTAGAAATAGACAAGGGGTTAGATTGCAAGGCTTTGTAAATACAGAAAGTATGTTCGGGATGAGTAAATAAATGCAAACAAAAGAGCCAAGGCAGAAATATTAAGTAGAAAGAATGGAGAGGAGTTCAACCAACTTGGAGAAAGATGACTTTAGAGAAATTGAAAATAGATTAGTTAGATAGGATCAGATAATAACCTGATGAGAAGCTATCATTAGGGAAAAAGGAATTTGACTTTAAAATTTCCAATATGTTGCAGATCATTTGTGTAAAATATAATACAAATTAATTTTTTAAAAAACGAGAATAAAAAGACATGCAGCCCGGCCAGTGTGGCGCGGTTGGTTGAGCATCTTCCCACACACTAGGAGGTCGGTCACTGGTTTGATTCCCAGTCAGGGCACATGCCTGGGTTTCAGGCTTGATCCCCAGTAGAGGACATGCAGGAGGCAGCTGATTGATGTTTCTATCTCTCCCTCCCTCTCTCTGCCTTTCTCTGAAATTAATGAAAACATTAAAAAAAAAAAAAAAGACATGCAAATATATGCCCTGATTATTATTAGAGTCCATAACCATACATGAATGACTCTTGTTCTTTTAACTCTTCAATTCTTCCTTTTTTCCCCTTGATCCTTTTGTAGTTTAATAATTATTTGAAAGCAGAGAATTTTTATATTTCAATGTAAAACCAAAATGATCTCAGATAAGTTACTTTGTACTTTGTGACTTTTTGTTGATACGAAGTTTTTTCCTTATCCTGTGGATCAGGAGCCTTTTATCCAAAACTGGTATATTGTTCAAATGTAATGAGAAGACCAACTCCCGAGCCTTAGGCATACGTACCGGTTGACTGTTAGGGAGGATGAGGACAGTGAAAAAGAGATGGAATGACTACCGACAGTAGGCAGGAAACCAGGATAATGTTGTTAAACCCAAATGAAGAGTAATTTCAAAGAAAGATTGAAAAACTGCTAATGAATGATACAGAGAGCCAAGGAGGTTAAGAAAAAAAGAAGCCAGTGCATTTGTGGGGATTCTCATGAGTATCTTGGGTCAGTTTCAAGACTGGAGGATAGACATGGCAGGTTTGGCTTAGCAGTTAGAGCATCGGCTTGCAGACTGAAGGGCCACGGATTGCAGGTTTGATCCCTGGTCTAGTCAGGGTTGTGTGGGAGGAACCAGTTCATGTGAGCGAGAGACACACCCTCCTTCCCTCTCTTCCTTTCTGTCTAAAAATCAATGGAAAAATATCCTCGGTGAGGATTAATAAAAAAGAAAAAAAACTGGAGGATAAAGCTATGTGAAATAGATTAGAAAGAGTCTGAGTCAATAAAATGGCTTTAATTTACACAAATTCAACTTTATTTTCTCCTTTTTTTTTTTTTAAAGAGGAAGATAATAGTAGCAGGCAGGTTTCTTTGTTTAAAGATTTTATATAAGTGAAATAAGGCTATTTCCCCTCTTCATCTATTGTCTGTTAAAAGGTATTTTATATGTTTGTTCTGTTTACAGCTTCAGAACTAGCAAAAACACCAAGAAAAAATGTGTCATTCAATTCAAAGAATGATCCGGAAATAAACATTCCTCACTGTAGCAAGGGTAAGATTTTACCTCAGTTCTTCGAAGAGGATTTTCATAGTGGCTTCGAGTTATAATATGTTACTTTTCTTCCTTGTCATAAGTACATATTTATATATTTTATTTTCTGTTCTGAAAATTCATTCAACAAAATGCAGTTAATACCTCAACCTGTATGCCTTAGTCTACCCATGTTTAGCTATCAATACAGACCTGTGCTGGTTGAAGTTGTGCAGATTGATAAAGCCAACTAGACAGTCTTAAAATCCTGTTGTCATTTGCTTGAGAAAGCCAAATGTTCACAGAAGATTTGCTTTGGCAAATATTTGAAATAACTCTTTGGGATTTAAAAGTCTTATAATTTGTGGAGAATTGCGACGCATTTGTTTTTGAGTGGCCCATTCCAACTAGGTTGAACTGTATGCTTTTTAAATAGTGAACAATGAAAAGGGCTCCATTATTTTTCTTGTTATATGAATACTACAGAAATGCAGGACATAGCTGTCACTAATGGGAATAATCATGTAATTAATAGTGATAATTCAGCCTCTAGTGGAGTTACATTTAATTGAGAATTCAACAAAATGTGGTGGCTTCTGGGTAGAAATAGTAAGTAATGGCTTTTTGTTTCATTCTTTAGGGCATTCGACTTCAGATGGAGTTCAGTTGAAGGTAAGCAATTGACTAAAAAACAAGCAAAAACCTTAGTGTTACAAAGTAAGACATGATGAAAATAGTGATTTTGTCTCTTAATTTATATAGTGCTGTATAATTTACAGATATTGGCAATTAAATACCTAATTTACAAATGAAGAATCTGAGAGTCAGAGAGGTGAAGTGACTTGTCTAGGTTCACATAGGTAAGAAGGAGAAAAGTTGAGAAATGAAGCCAGGTCTTTTGGACCCTACTGTCATTCCTTTTTTGTGTCAGAGCTATTTGTAGGTATTTCCAATTTAGTAGGCCTGGCCTGGAAATTTTATGATTTTGTTTTGTTTTGCTTTGCTTTTATATATAATCTGTTGTTTCTTGGGGGATTGGCCCCAAGGTCCATTAAATTCATTAGTCTGCCCTTTTAGGATTTACATTTGAAAACTAAGTTGGCTTTGGTAAATTCATACCACTGTAGCTGAAAGGAATTGACAATTTTTATTATTTCCTTTGTGTTATTGTGGTTTTGGATTTTCATTATGATTTGTCAAGTATCCCTGCCTGGATGTGGGCAAGCCCCGATGGGCAAGAACAAGTTCATGACTATGAGTATGTAAGCGTGTCCAGGTCTGGGTGGCTTTAGATTTAGACATGCCTGGACTCTTATACAGGCTAAATTCACATCCTTTATAAGAATGTGAGTATTCAGGGCCATGGTTATGGCCTATGCAGGAATGTCTTATGTAGGCAGTCTAGGTGTGGGATTAGATATGTCAGAGTCTCCTTTGTCTTTAATAATGCTTCTTTCCTGTATTGTATCTTGTATATTTTATCACTAGAAAAGAATAAAACTTAGTTTATTAATCCAATCAATGATTTAGGTGTATTAGCAAATTCTTTTTTAAGCTGTGGATCACAACATGGTAGTGGATCATGTCAGTTCCCCAAGGGATCGACAGAAAACCTGTCAATGAAACTAGTATACCTACCACAATAAGAGACAACATCACTATGGCAGAACCTTAGTGCACTGTCTTAGGTGGGAGAGTTCAGAAGTGAATATGTGTAGGGCTTGTGGAGATCTAGACTCAAGGGGTTTAAGGCACATCTATCAAAATGGGGTAATCTGTATTAGACAAAATTCATGGCATAATAGTTTAAGATTGGTGAACATAGTGAGGAGAGAGTCTTGAACTAAGTCTTAATAAGTAAACTGTTCTTTGATAAGTGCTCTTTTACTCTGGTGAGTAATCTGTTGTCCTGATTGGAGAACAGGTTGCCCAAATAAGCAAACTGTTGAGAAATGGTTATTTCGACACAGGTGTTCTCAGACCTGATAATTAAGCTATGTGGATGGAGGTTGTCTCAACTCTTGATCTTAGAATCAATTTAGTAGGACGTGACCTACAATTTAAAAGATGAAATAGAATAAAATAGAAATTTTCTAATTTGTAAGTATTATTTCATTATAATTTATTTTAATTATGTACGTACATGTGTACTGGATCAAGATGGCAAAATGTTAAAAAAGAGTTTTTGAAGATCTATATAAAAAACGTTTGGCCCTGGCCAGTTTGGCTCGGTGGTTAGAGCATCAGCCTTCGGACCAGAGAGTCCCAGGTTCGGTTCCCGCTAAGGGCACATACCTCAGTTGCAGTTTGTCCCCAGCCCCGGTTGGGGTCATGTGGGTGGCAGCCACTCGATGTGTCTCTCTCTCTCTCTTACATTAGTGTTTCTCTCTCTGTCTTCCTCCCTCTCTCCCTCCCGCTCTATCTGAAGATGGATGCAAACATGTCCTTGGGTGAGGATAAAAAAAAAAGTTTGAAACACTGTAATATACTTCATAAATCCATTGGGACCAGCCTAATTATTAGAATACTGTTATTGATATCCTAAATCAAAATCTATTAACAGTTGCAACTAGCACCAAAACCTATCACTAGACAGCAGACTTAAATTTTTTTCATAGTTTCATATTACCTAAAAACAAAGGTAATCTTTTTATCAGTATAGTTTAAACAGGTAAACAACTGGATATTTTAATGTGCTGGAAATGTAATTGTGTTAAAGTATTATATTCTCTCAGGAAAAGAAAAATATACTTTTTACTTTTATAAAATGTTTTAAAATGTAAAAATACAGAAGCAAAAAGTATAAATCTCTGTTTTTCTACTCCACAGAATGTGATACTTGAACACCAGTAAATTTCCACCATATTAAAAGGCCCATTGCCATATGCATACGAGTGCCTGTTTCCTTGTGTGCTCATCATCATTGGGCATTAATACCTTTTTTTTTTTTTAAGAAAAATTCTGCTAATCTAATGGGTGAAAAGTAGTTCAAAAGGTTGATATACTTAGGCTTTTTTCTTTACATAATAATAAAAGTACAAACATACTTTATAGATGTCTGGAATACAACTTCTAGAATTACTCTAGGACTCCTTTGGAATTTGTTGTATAATTTTTGTTATTTTTCTAACAAATTCATTTGTCATTGTTTTCCAGTTCTAGGAACTAGGCTCATCTAGTTCTAACAAAGTCTATTGAAAACAATATTTTTCTTCTTTTCTAGCCTTTTTCATTCAGATCCATCATTAATTTCCATGTCATCATCATTATTTGACTATTTAAACGATATTGCTTTTTTTATTTTTAAACAGAACAATGATAAAAGTGAATTTCTGTCAACAGTACCTCATGGTCTAAGGAAAAGATTAATAGGTATGTACAAATCACTGAGTTTTGAAGCATCTAAACAAGGACAGTAATGGTTAAGTATATAGGTTCTAGTCTTAGACTGCTTGCTTTTTATCTTTGGCCAGCCACTTATAAAGACCTCTGTTCCTCATTTCTTTTCATTTGCAAAACAGGAATAACAATGGTACTAGCCCAAAAGTTGTTTTGAGTTTCATTGAAATAAGGATGTCAAAAGCACTTAGTATAATGCTTAACTTGGATATGTGCTTAACAGATGTTAGCTGTTATTCTTATACCTACTTATTGCTATTCCTTTTCATGAGAGACAGGATATGTTCATATTCTCAGTTAAATTGTAGACTCCTTAAGGGCAAGAACTATATCTTATATCTTTAACTCCAACACTTAGCATTATGCCTTTTATATTATAGTCAGTGGTTATTGAGGTTAATTAAAATGTCTCTCCAATAAAATAACAAGGCCCCCCCCCCCTTTTTTTTAATTCGGATAGAGCAGGAGGGAAAGAGGGAGGGAGAGAGAGAGAGACATTGATGTGAGAAGGACACATCTACTGGTTGCCACCCACACAACCCCAACTGAGGCCTGGGACAAACTGCAAACAAGGTACGTGCCCTTGGGGGAACCGAACCTAGGACTCTCTGGTCCGTGAGCGGATACTCTAACCGCTGAGCCAAACCGGCCAGGGCATAACAAGCCTTTTAGTTTATTTGTTGTTTTGGTTTTTTTTTCTTTATTGATTTTTAGAGAGAGAGGACGGGAGAGAGAGCGAGAGATAGAAACATCAGTGAGAGAGAACATCAATTGGCCACCTCCTACATGCTCCCCACTGAGGACTGGGCCTACAACCTGGGCATGTGTCCTGACCTGGAATTGAACCAGCAACCTCTTGATGCATGAGTCGACACTCAACCACTGAGCCACACCAGTTGGGCTTAGTTTATTTGTTTTGAGACAGTTTTGGAAATACTTCTGTTGATTTATTCAGAAAGTTTATAATGAAATAGTTTAAAATATTCATAGTCGTACTAGATGCTTTATATAGCCAAGTAAACAGACATGGATCCTACCTTCTAAAAAATTAAAAATATTTTTTGATTTTTAAATATTTAACTTTGGGGCAAATTATTTGTTGACCTTTACATTTCAGAAAGATGTCAACTTCTTCCTTGGGGTTGACCCCTTGACAATAATATTAACGAACATTGTCAAATCCATTCTGTATGTAGTCCCTTCTTTTCAAAGTATAATTTCATAGAGTTGTTACTACTATTACATTTTTAATCAACATAAAAATGGTGATACTAGCCCTGGGCGGTTTGGCTCAGCGGTTAGAGCGTCGGCCTGCGGTCCTGAGAGACCCGGGTTCAGTTCCCGCTAAGGGCATGTACCTCGGTTGCAGTTTGTCCCCGGCCCTGGTCGGTTGTGCGGGTGGCAGCCACTCGATGTGTCCCTTTCACGTCGATGTTTCTCTCTCTCTCTGTTCCTCTCTCTCCCCTCCACTCTACCTGAACAAAAAATGGAAAAATGTCCTCCGGTGAGGATAAAAAAAATGGTGATACTAAATGATTGGATAGCTGAAGCAATAAAAGATATGTGAAATTATGATTATTTTATGTCAAATATATACCAAGTCCTATATTGTTTCCTTACCCCAAATAAGAATCCTTTTTAGATAGAAAGTGAACTTACTTTTCCATCTCAATCATCACCAAACACATATGCCTACATGTATAATGTATATATGTAAATAAGGTAGAGACATTTTCTGGTACCCTCTACCACTATTTACCCATGTGTCTAGCTAGCATGGGCAGCGGTCTTCACAAATATGAATCTGCTAAGCTATGTATGCCCACAAAATCAAGCCTCTTCCCCACGCCCTTTTAATATCTATATTTGTTATATGCTGACTCTGGATATTCTGAAATATATCTATTGTTCAAAATCAATATACTGATTTGGTTAAAGTTATCTCATATTTTGAAAGTTAACTTTTTGTAATAGTTTCATACATACTTTGTTGAATGTAAAACCTAGTTTTAACCTTACTTTATGAGTGTAAACTAACTTTATTTCAGGGAGGGTGAAGGTAGTTTGGTTTGTTTAAAAATGTAATTTTATCAGTTCTGGGATGAAGTATGCCTGTGTATTAGTAGTACTTACAAAAGTAGCTACCATTTATTGAGTGCTGTTTCAGTCAGGATGACATTTTCAGTAGGCAACTTAATTAAGCTACAGACATTAAGTATCTGACATCATAAGAAGTCTAAGGATATAAAGTTCCATGGTTGATATAGTGACTCAACAGTGTCATGAAGGACCCAAGTTTTTCCTATCTGCTTGCTTTGCCACCAGTATTTTTTTTTTAATATGTTTTTGTTTTTTAATTTTTTTAGAGGTAGAGAAAGGGAGAGAAATAGAAACATCAGTCGGCTGCCTTCCGCATTCCCCCTACTGGGGATCAAGCCTACAACCCGGGCATGTGCCCTGACTGGGAATCAAACCAGAACCTCTCAGTCCATGGAATGATTCTCAGTCCACTGAACCACACTGGCAGGGTGCTGCCAGTATTTTTCATCTTTAAGTTTGATACTTCATATTGCAAAATGGCTTCCATAGCTTTAAGATATGAGTATAAATAAGGGGCTTGACTTCCATAAGTGAGGAAAGTCTTTCCCAGAGGCTTCCGGCAGATTTCCTCTCAAGTTTCATTGGTCAAAGGGTTACATAGTCAACCTTAGTTGCAAAGGAGGCTGAGAAAGCAAATATCTGGCAAAGGAAAAGACCATGATTATTTATCCCTTTGGGTGGAGCACATTGCCACATTTTATAAAACTGGAGTTCTGTTGGCAAGGAAGAAGGAAAGAGAATGGTATGAGGTATGATTGACAGTTTCTGTCACAGCTTCTATGTGTCAGGCATTATTAGTTGCTTTACATACATTTCACTGTAATCTTCACAATGGTCTATTAAGTTGCGCACTGTTAGTCTCATTTGATAATTGAGGAAACTGGTGCTCCAAACACGTATATAGCTAACTCTGGTGAAATCAGCAAGTAATGATAAAACCAGAAGTTAGATTCTCTTACTTCAAAGCCCACTTTCTTCCTGTTACCCCACAGTGCCTCTTTTGTCAAACTGTCAAATTTTCCCAATTGCTTTTCTCTCCCCACAGTCCCAAGATCTCATTCTGACAGCGAAAGTGAATATTCTACTTCCAACTCAGAGGATGATGAAGGGGTTGCACAAGAAGATGAAGAAGACACTAATAAAGTCATATTGAGCCCAAAGATTCAAGCTCAGAACAGAGAAATTTCAACTCCTGTTTGCAAAGAAACACCTTCTAAGAAAATGAAAAGAGATAAAACAGTAAGTGAAGAGAGAGACTTTAAACCTTTAAAAAAATGTGTAATATTTCAAAGGTACGCTACCCTAAGAGAAGAGATCCAAATGGGAGAATCAACATAATTTTTTTCTTCACTTTTCTATATTTTGTCAGCCTTTCACATAAATTCCCATGTATCTTTATCTATTTCTGGACTTGCTTTCTTGGCCTATCTATATTCCTGTTTATGTAACAATACTGTAATATATGCTGAAGGTGACATCTCAATTCAACTGTATTAAAATGAGCTTTCAATTGAAAACATATTTATTGGATAGTTGGGAGCAAGATTTATCAGTGTATACCTTATATAGTTTAATTTTTGTAACATTTTTTATGTATTCAATTAAATTAAGTAATAAATAATAGCAGTCTAGGAATCCCATTGCTTGAATGGCTTCTCATCCCTTCCTAACAACTATGGAGGTTAGCCCTGCCCTAAATCAGTAAAACAACTATGAGCCATTTTAATAGCAGGCAAGTCTTTTTTACCTTGCTAGTGATGTCTTCTTTGTTTTCACAGTACTTCAACTGAACTAATATTAAAGAATTTGCTCAGACTATGTGAGGCAAGACAAAGGTTCTGATATATAAAACTCCCCTTTTTTAAGTTTAAATAGAAATCATATGTTGGGACTTAGAAAGAAATTGTTTTGGAGAATAGACTACTTCAATCTATTCATTTCTTTAACCTTTATGATCCAAAAAGTTATTCGGTTTTATTACTACAATTAAATTCTTTTGGTCCAAAATCTATGTTGTTGCTTTAAATAGAAAATAGTGAGTACCAAATAAAAAATTTCACATCTTCTATGTTATACTAATATTACTGTTTAGTTTCTATATAAAGTAAATATCTGAAACTAAGAAATAAATGACTTTACACTTTCAGAGTGACTTAGTAGAAGAATATTTTGAAGCTCACAGCAGTTCAAAAGTTTTAACCTCTGATAGAACACTGCAGAAACTAAAGAGAGCTAAACTGGACCAGGTATGTTGCAAAGAATGTTACTTATAAATTTTTCTTAGTGCAAGCTGAAAAATGTGCTACACAAGCAGAATTACTGTCCTGATCAAATGAAACAATTAACATGACATAACTATTACATATTTTATTATGTAAATACTAAATGGCTCACTGGATTAGAATTCTATTTGGCATATATTTTTATACAGGGGTGGGCAAAAGTTGTTCATAATAAATAATACAATAAAGAAATAATAATATAAGTATAGCCCGGCCGGTGTGGCTCAGTGGTTGAGTGTCGACCCATGCACCAAGAGGGTCACCAGTTTGATTCCCGGTTGGGGCACATGCCCAGGTTGTGGGTCAGGTCCCCAGTGTGGGGCATGCAGGAGGCAGCCAATTGATGTTCTTTCTCATTGATAGTTCTCTCTCTCTCTCTCTCTCTCTCTCCCTCTCCCTTCCTCTCTCTATAAAGTCAAAAAAGAAAAACAATTAAAAAATAATAATAATACAAGAATAAACTGTTTTGCGTACTTATGACTGTAAATCTACTTTTGCCCACCCTGTATAAGTAAAATGAGAGAAGGATAAATTGATCTAGGGTCAAAGTAGGGTTACATAGGACCTAGAGACAAAAAAGACCTCTAAGAGCCCTGGCCAGTTTGGCTCAACAGATAGAGCATTGGCCAATGGACCAGAGAGTCCCCGGTTCGGTTCCGGCTAAGGGCATCTTCCTCCGTTGCAGTTTGTCCCTGGCCCCGGTTGGGGTCGTGTGGGTGGCAACTACTTGATGTGTCTCTCTCACGTTCATGTTTCTCTCTCTCTTCCTCCCTCTACCCCTCCTGCTCTGATGATAAAAAAAAGCAAAAAAAAAAAAAAAAACCCCTCGGGTGAGGATAAAAAAAAAAAAAGACTTCTAGGAGAATGAAAGAAACACCTGTTAACAATAAGGAAAGGAAAGGTCTTTCAGTGATTGTGGACATAGCTAATCAATGCAGCCTCAGTAGCATGTGCAACATGCATTAATTTTTCATGTCTAGTGGGTCAGCTGGGGTTTGGCCTGATCTAGGATTTGGTTGCTTCCTCCTTGGACCAACAAGCTAGTTGAGGCATGTTCTTTTCATGACAATGTCAGAGAGTAACAAAAATGGAAAACACAAGAACTCTTAAAGTCTGGGTGTCAAACTGGCTCACTGTCACTTCTGCCTCATTCTAGTGACCACAGCAAATCAAAGGGTGAAAAACAAAGTCAAAGAGCAGGGAACTAGACTCTACTTCTGTAGTGGGAAGGACTGCAAAGTCACATCGCAAAGGTGTGGATATGGACAGGGGGAAAGTTTGTGGGCCAATAGTGCGATTTTCCACAGATACTAAGATCTGAAATGAAAGTTCACGGAGGAGATATCATTCCAGAGTCCACACTCGAGTGTGAATATGCTCTGATAATCCAGTATAAATGACTACTGGAAATGATAATAGTGCTTTATTTGCTTTTTTCGGGCTCTAAACTTCAGAAGGAGTGAGAGAAAAATTGTTTTAACTACTTAACAATTTTACTTAAAACATCCTATTTGGTTTTTTTTTTTTTTTTTATCCTCACCTGAGGACATTTTTTTTTTTTTTCCATTTTTTGTTCAGATAGAGTGGGAGGGAGAAAGAGGAAAAGAGAGAGAGAAACATCTACGTGAAAGGGACACATCGAGTGGCTGCCACCCACACGACCAACCAGAGTCGGGGACAAACTGCAACCAAGGTACATGCCCTTAGCGGGAACCGAACCCAGGTCTCTCTGGACCGCAGGCCGACGCTCTAACCACTGAACCAAACCGGCCAGGGCCATCCTATTTGTTTTTAAGTATGTGGATAAATAAAAACTTTATAGGCCAGTGTGACTGGAATGTTGATTGCAACTCTGGTCTTCAGTATTAAAAGAATATTTTACTTAAAAGCTAGGATCATGAAAACCTGGTAGTGTTAGGGTAAAAATGCACTTAGAGCTTTTGGCTGGAGTTTTCATTTCAAAAACGAGCTATATTTGATTCACCGGTGTGAATTTCCAAGTTTTGGGTGCAGGGCAATGTGCCTTCCTTAGTTTATTTACATTTTTTAAAAGATTTTATTAAATTGCCCTGGCCAGTTTGGGTCAGCGGTTAGAGCGTTGGCCTGTGGTCCTGAGAGACCCGGGTTCGGTTCCCGCTAAGGGCACATACCTCAGTTGCAGTTTGTCCCCGGCCCTGGTGGGTTGTGCGGGTGGCAACCACTCGATGTGTTCCTTTCACATCGATGTTTCTCTCTCTCTCTCTGTTCCTCCCTCTCCCTCCCACTCTACCTGAACAAAAAATGAAAAAAATGTCCTCAGATGAGGATTAAAAAAAAAAAGATTTTATTAAATTGATTGAGAGAGAGAGAAACATAGATATTAAAGGGAAACATTGATTGGCTGCCCCCCACCTGGGATACTGAGCCGGCAACCCTTCAGTGCGATGGGACGAAGCCCAACCAACTCAGCCACATGTGCAGCCAGGGCAACATTGTCGTTTAACAAACTTTATATATACTGATCAAAGTTAAAGTTTGTTAGGAATAGCTTTTGGAATAGGAGCAGTGATAGAAGTTTATTTTACTGCTAATAATGGTAAATTATAAAGAACCCTTAATGTTTTCTGAGAATTAATGTTGAACTGTTACCTTAAGCTTTTACATTTTTTGAAATCCATAGGTTTTTAAAAGTCTGGATTTGTCAAAGCTGGTAGGCAAGTTTAATCATCTCTTTATGATAACAATCTTTTCAGAAATTAAAGCCTTATATTTGGAGTTTATAATCATATAAATGGTTCTGGGAAAAAAAATTAGCAAATTCTTTATTGCTATTACATATTTATACCAAAAAGAATGTTTAAAAATTTGACACATATCATATTTGAAATATGTATAATTATGTCCTCTTCTAACCTCTGCCTCTAAGAAAATATTTTTAGTTTGGATTGATTTGATGTCTATGGTTTGAAAGTGATTTTCTTCCCTCTCTCTCTCTTTTTTAAAAAGCAAACTTTGCGTAACTTATTAAGCAAGGTTTCTCCTTCCTTTTCTGCTGAACTTAAACAACTAAATCAACAATATGAACAATTATTTCATAAATGGATGCTGCAGTTACAGTAAGTACTATCATAGTTGCAAGCCCTTGTAAAGAATTATATATCTATGTTAAAGTCTACTTTAACTTATTTAATTTTCTTTTTGCAACAAACTTGATATATATTTTTATTTATATATAAAAATTTTTTTAAATAGTTCCTTTTTTTTCAATTTTATGATACAAGTGTAGAAATGTCATTATAGTACAGCTCTTCTCAGAAATTCTAGTTTTCAATAAATTTGAATTTTCTAAATTTAATTTAATTTGTCAATAACAGGTCAAAGGGTTATGATAGTAAGAAGAGAATGATTATCTTCTCTGGTAGGACCTCAGTACCTCTCAATAACTCTTTAGGATCTGGTCATTATAAATGTATAAAGCAGCTCTTCACTCTAATCTCATTCCCCAACCCACCAATTCTTCCTACTCCCAGTATGTCAACTCCAATAACTTGATTTGCTTTGCTTCTTAGCCTATACCTCATAGTCAGCTACCTCAATAGACTTGCTGCTCTCTGAATTTTCTTGCTTCTTTTTTTCTGCTGTTTCTACCTTCTAATCTCTACCTTAGGAGTTATCTTTCTTTTGTTTTTCTGTTTCCAGGCTATCCTGCATTGCTACAAAGCATCACATAAATACTATTTCTTACTGACCTCCATAAAGAACCATGGAGTTGAACTTGAGCTTGAACCCTAGTGCGTGGTGTTCTAGGTCATCTCATTCACTCTCTTGGTCTCAGTTGTTTTCTGTATGTGAATAACTCCCATAACTCTATCTCCAGCCTAGCCCAGCTCAGATCGCAATCCTCAACAGGATATCTGAATATTGGAGGTTTCCTGTGGTTATCCTATGTATAATTCAATGTACATAAAATGTAACAATGCCATCTTAACCCATCAGTCCCATCTGCCCCTGCTGCCTGACACCATGACTGTCACCCCATTCATGTAAAGTTGCCTATGCCAGAAACGAAATTATTCTTCAATATTCCCTTTCCCTCACCTTTTACATCTAACTACTCTCCAAATCCTATTGATTTGACCTATAAAGCTTTTGACACCTTACATTTTTCTCCTTGACCCCTTATCTATTCCTACTCAGCCAGTCTGATCTTTCTAAAAAAGATAATGTTACTTTCCTACTTAAAACTTTTCAGTTAACAACTTACTAGTTACTAGTAAATGCTCATAGCCCTTGGAATAAAATCTAGTTAATGTTTTAGTCGACTTACCAAGACCTTTGTGACTTAGCCCCTGCTTACTTTTCCATTTTAATCTATCATTAATTAAAAGTCTGCTTTAGCCTGTAAAACTTTTTGCCTTGCACCTACCATGTTGTCCTTTTACCTCCCAGCATCTGCAGCTTGAAAGTAGTATGAGCTGGAGGGAAAGCTACTATAATTGGAACTCTAAGCTTGGTGTACAGATGATAAAATTGTGCTTTTACCTTGTACAAGTTGGGAATCAATATGTTATTTAGTCATTCCAGTTCTTCTTGTATTCTTTTATAAGCTTAAATGAAGGAAACTGGTGGACTGTAAAATTGGCAACTTTAATTTCATGAATGCTATCTTTCCTGACAGCCTGGGGTTCAACATTGTGCTTTATGGTTTGGGTTCTAAAAGAGATTTACTAGAAAGGTTTCGAGCCACTATGCTGCAAGATTCCATGCATGTTGTCATCAATGGTTTCTTTCCTGGAATCAGTGTGAAATCAGTAAGTTTCAAAAATGTTAAAAGGAATATCATATCTCCTGCCAACCCAATACCCCCATGTTAATGAAGATGCTACTTCTCATTCTAGAGTATTCAATTTTTGTCTTCTACTAGTAGGATTGCGTAGTGCTTAAGATCTTGTGCTTGGACTTACAGGGTTCTAGCTTTGAATCCCCATCTTTGAATTTCCCTCTTTATAACTGATAATGTATTATATCTTAGGGAAATGTTAGCTTTGTGTACTGAACCAAATACTAACAATACTTCTCTGAAGGACAGGATTATGGGGGACTTCAGTTTTATTATGCTTTTATGTCATTCACACACTCTAATAAAAATATAAGTAATTGTAGTTTCATAATACATTTATAGATCATTTTTACTCCAAATGCTCATATTGCTTCATCATTTGAAAGTTAATATAAACCTTTTGGGTGCTGAGTATAACTGATGTAGTATTTCTTTCTAAAAGTGTCCTTAATATTTGTGTCCTGTTTCCTTTACTAAATCTATAGTTTTCTCATGTTTCTCATATTGTTGGGGTTTTTGGGGTACGGAGGTTGCATTCCTCTTATGTTATCTTTACATCTTTGCTATTCCCTGTTTTCTTTCATTTAACCATAACTTATGCAAAAAAATTGAATAAAGTACCAGTAGAATTTTTCAAAGTGCCCTTTTTCATATTTGGTGGAAATCCAAATTCATTTTCAGTTTATAAAAAAGGATTGATTTGCTAGTTGCATTTATCTTATATGACAGAATAAGTTATCATTTATGTACCTCTTGTGCTTTTATGATATAGATCCTGAATTCTATAACAGAAGAAGTCCTTGATCATATGGGTACTTTCCGCAATGTACTGGATCAGCTAGACTGGATAATAAACAAATTTAAAGAAGGTAACATGAAGTAGATGCTCTAGTTTTAAGGTGAAGCTAAGCACACACTTCTACTTATTTGTGTATTAGTACACACAAAAATGACGATTATTTTAATAATAGCACTTTTCTCAATGCTGATTTAGATAACTCTAAAATAATTTGTGGTTTGTTTTTTTTTTTATCCTCACCCAAGGACATTTTTGCATTTATCTTCAGATAGAGCAGGAGGGAGAGAGAGAGAGGAAGAGAGAGAGAGAGAAACATTGACGTGAGAGACACATTGACTGGTTGCCACTAAACAATCCCAACCAGAGCCAGGGACAAATTGCAACCAAGGTACGTGCCCTTAGCGGGAACTGAACCCAGGACTCTCTGGTCCGTGGGCCAATGCTCTAACCACCGAGCAACCGGCCAGGGCATTTGAGTTTTCTTTTTCTGTGGTCTTCACTAATTATCTAACAGGAAAGAATTATTCCTACTACCTTGAATTTGTATAGCTAAAGCCTCTTACTTCAGAATAATTTTCAGGTTTCATTTGGTGATTGTAAGGTGCCTCCGGTTGATTGGTACACTTTGTCTGATATTTTTATATTTAATATTTATATAAAACATTTTATTTATTCTGAGTAAGTATCACTGCATTTTAATTACTTCATATACTAAAATCTGGAATGGAAAAAAACACATTTTTTTGTTATTCTTTCAGTGTGAATGTTCTGGTTATGTGAGCATTTCAAAAAATTAGAAATAAAATTATTTAGGCTCTAACAGTTGTCATTTAGTCATTGTTTAAGAATTAAAAGGAGTAATTGGTTATGCTTAACTGATTTGATGGATAACTTTGGTATTGTTTGTATGCTTATTAAAATAGATGCCTAAGTCATTTAATATATATATACTATATATATAATATATATCCTATATATATTATGTGTCATACATATTATATATGACACATGTGATACATTTGTTATATAATTATAATTGTAATTACATATAATTATGTAATGTAAATAAAGTATATACTGTTTCTGTATAATTTATATGTTATTTATAATTTAAATAATGCTGTCTAGTGGCTTTTAGAATTCAAGTAACCTTAGACTTTCAAAATATATCATCTTAAAATCTTTGTCACTATATTGTCTCTCTTGTCTCTCTATCCCCAGTGCAAGAAAATTTTACTTATTCTCTCTAAAAGGCTCATCCTCCATCATAGCTGCCAAATGTCCTATTTCTTATCAGCTCCTGAGAGACTTACAAATAGTTTTTTAAAATGTATAAAAAAAATTACCTGCTTCTACTGCCCTTCCACGCGATTTAATTTCTCTTTTTCAATATGATTTTAGAGTTTTTGAAGACATGTCCTGCTTTCTGCCCTTTACCTATTTCCTACATAATTTCTTGCTTCTGTGTTACCTGAACTGTATACTTGAAGATCACCTGTAATTTCCAATGTGTTACTAAACACATTGGCCTTGGCTCATCCTTTGTTTTTTTTTTTTATCTTTATTGTTGAATATTACAGATGTTCCTCATTTCCCCTCCAATTACCCTGTCCTCCCCACACCCGCCCCCCTCTGCCTTTTCCCACACTATTGTCTGTGTCCATTGGTTATGCAGATAGGAAACCCTTTATATGGCCATTGATTCTAAATGACAGCTTTGCAAAATAGAGTAATCTTGGTTGTAGGTTCTTGCTTTTCATCACTCTGAATATTTCTTGCCACTCCCTTCTGGCCTGCAAAGTTACTTTTGAGAAATCAGCTGACAGTCTTATGGGGGCTCCCTTGTAGGTAACTAATTGCTTTTCTCTTGCTGTTTTTAAGATTCTGTCTCTTGAACCTTTTGCATTTTGATGATGTGTCTTGCTGTGGCCTCTTGGGGTTCATCTTGTTGGGACTCTCTGTGCTTCCTGGACTTGTATGTCTGTTTCCTTCACCGAGTTAGGGAAGTTTTCTGCCATTATTGTTTCTGAGAGGTTTTCGATTTCTTGTTTTCTCTCTTCTCCTTCTGGCACCTCCAAGATGCGAATGTTGGCACGCTTGAAGTTGTCCCAGAGGCTCCTTACACGATCCTCATTGTTTCAGATTCTTTTTTCTTTTTGCTGTTTTGATTGGGTGTTTTTTGCTTCCTTATATTCCAAATGGATAATTTGCTTCTTGGCTTTACCTACTCTATTGAATCTGTGTAAATTATTCTTTATTTCAGTTAGTGCCTCCTCAATTTCTGCTCTGCATCCTTCATTTCTTACTGGTCCTTTTTTATGCTCTTGAGGCCCTAAGTTCTCTGAGGTTCTCACTAAGTTCATTGAGCATCCTTATAAGCAGTATTTTGAACTCAGCATCGGTTAGGTTGCTTAGTTCTTCTCCTGGGGTTTTGTTCTGTTCTTTCATTTGGGACCTGGTTCTTTGTCTCCTCTTTTTGGCTGCCTCCCTGTGTTTGTTTCTATGTATTGCTTAATGAGAGGTATGGGGCTAGCTGAGACCAGATGCTGCTTGTTTGAAAGAATTTAGGAAAACCTGAAGCAGGATCCAAGATAGGCCAATCCTATGGTAAAGCAACTGGCAACAGCTTGGGTGGGCCTGAAAGTTGGGTGGGGCGTGACCTCAGGGAATCACCAGGGCGGGGCAACCAGTGTGAGCCAGGTTGCTGGAGTCCCAGATGTGGTGGCTGTCTGCCGGCCTCGTGACTCACTGAAGGAACAAAGGCCTCTGATATCACGTTTGTCCAGGAGAAAGCCCCCTCTCCAGCCCTTGCTACCATTCCAAAAAGCTTAGTTTTTCCCTGTATGTCTCTGGCACTCCTTGAGCCGCCTCCCCTCCAAGCTTAGAGGGAGTGATTCCAGTAAGTCTGTGCACAGGCCCTTTAAGAGGAGTTGCCTGGGGCTCCAGCCACCTCAGCCTCCCTGAGCCTCAGTTCCCGCTGGTTCTTCCATCCAGAAGTTATGGGGATTTCTCTCCCTGGCAATGGAACCCTGAGCGGGGTGCCTGGTGTGGGACGGGGACCCCTCAGTCCTCAGGGAGGACCTTCCCAGCTGAGGTGTGCTTATTTTTATCTGCCACATGTGGGTGTGGGACCAGCCCATAGCACCTCTGTCCCTCCTACCAGTCTCGATGCAGTTTCTTCTTTAATTTCGTAGTTGTAGGACTTCCACTCAGCTCAATTTTAGGTGGCTTTGAATGATGGCTGTTCTGTAGTTTAGTTGTAACTTTGATGTGGTTGTGGGACAATGCAATACCTTGTTTACCTAAGCCGCCATCTTGAATGGAAGTCCCCCTTTTTTATATATATAACTTTTTAAATATTTTTGATTGACTTTTGGAGAGAGATCGATGTGAGGCATCTAGCATCTGCCTCCTGCACACCCCATTCCTAGGGATCTAGCCTGCAACTCTGGCATGTGCGCTGACCAGGAATCGAAACGGTAACCTTTCAGTGCAGGGGACCCAATGCCCAAGCAACTGAGCCACAGAGGATAGGGCAATCCTTTGTTTATCTTGATCTCTGCAGTACTTGACAGCTTCATCCTCCAAATGTTTCCTTCGTTGAGTTATGTTTTACTGCTCTCACTTTCCTGGTTCCTTGAACAATATCCTAAGCCCCTCCCCTCCCTTTTTTTGTCTCCTTTGGCTTTTGTGACAGTATGGGTTATCTATATTAACTTTTTTTAACCCTTATCTTTTTATTTTTATTTATTTTATTTTTTGTTAATCATTACCTGAGGATATTTTTCCACTGATTTTTAGATAGAGTAGAAGAATAAGAGGGAGAGAGAGGGAAACATCAGATGTGAGAGAAATACATCAATTGGTTGCCTCCCCTACCACCCTGACCAGGGCCAGGGATCGAACCTGCAACCCAGGTACATGCCCTTGACTGGGAATCCAACTTGTGACCCTTTGGTTCAGAGGCTATCTTTCTAACCTCTGAGCCAAACCTCCCAGGGCTAGATTAACTCTTAATGCTTAATGAGAACTCTTTTTTTTTTTTTTTTTATGTTTTCCCTCTACTCCCACCTTGCAAGTCATCATGCATGGATTTCACTTGTACTCCAGTATGCATCTTGCCTTATTTCCTATACCTTATTAAAACTGCTTTCTTGCCCTGGCCGGTTTGGCTCAGCGGTTAGAGCATCGGCCTGCGGTCCAGAGAGACGCTGGTTCGGTTCCCACTAAGGGCATGTACCTCAGTTGCAGTTTGTCCCTGGCCCTGGTTGGTCATGTGGGTGGCAGCCACTCGATGTGTCCCTTTCACGTCAATGTGTTTCTCTCTCTCTCTCTCTCTCTCTCTCTCTCTCTCTCTCCCTCCCTCCCTCCCTCCCTCCCACTCTATCTGGACAAAAAACGGAAAAAATGTCCTCCGGTAAGGATAAGAAATAAATAAATAAAACTGCTTTCTTTATAGTCTGACTCAAGTGTTAATCACTCCAGTCCCTACTGATTTTCAGAGAATTTTATTTCCTTGAAGACTTTAATAATGTCTTGCCTATTTTATGAACTGACATATCTTCTCAAATAAATTTCATATCCCTAAGCAATAGTTATTTTGTCTTTTGATATATTCTTTAATCCATATTGTATGTGGTAGGGACTTCACAAATACTGTTTGAAAATAATAATTGAACTGTTTTTCTTTTTAGATTCTTCTTTAGAACTCTTCCTTCTTATCCATAATTTGGATAGCCAAATGTTGAGAGGAGACAAAAGCCAGCAAATTATTGGACAGTTGTCATCTTTACATAATATATATCTTATAGCATCTATTGATCACCTCAATGCTCCTCTCAGTAAGTTAAAATATTACTGTTTTTCTTTCTTGAGGTATCAGTCATACAAAATTAACTTTTTAAAATATATTTTTATTTATTTTTGTTACAGATGTTTCTACTCCCCACCAGACACCTTCCTCCCAATCCCGCACCCCCCAAATTAATTTTCTTAATGTTGTAAAAATATCTTTATCATTTTGTAGTACAATTTTTTGTTGTTGTTGCATCTTTAAAGACACAGGTAGCCAAAAATCTAGGTGTCTTCAATCTACTTTAGAATAAAATTCTTGGGAATAAAAATTCAGGTTCTAAAGAAGGTATTTTACACCTAAAGCTTCATGAGAGAGGAGACCCAACTGTTACTTTGGTCTTTTTTTATTCTTTGTGATACTGAAACATTTATTTTATGCAATTTAATTCAGAGACTATGATAAACCTTATTGAACAAAATGTCAAATTATTAAAACTTTTTAAAAGAATGCCTTGGTAGCACTAATATATTTTAACTTGTATTTAATATACCAGTGAAGATTCAGATGTTGATTAACAATGAAATTAGATTGTCCAGTACTGATTTGGATGGGGAAATGGCAAAACTGAAGTTTACAGGATTTATTTTATATTTTTTTTATTAAATGCTTTCTCATTCTTTCCTAGAGGAGAATTTAGTAACATGATAATGTGCAAATAATTAGTAATTGTTTTTATTTCTTTGATTGTGTACTATAGTGTGGGATCATGTAAAGCAGAGTCTTTATAACTGGCTCTGGTACGAAACTACTACATATAGTCCTTATACTGAAGAAACCTCCTATGAGAATTCTCTTCTGGTTAAACAGTCTGGATCACTACCACTTAGTTCCCTAACTCATGTCTTGCGAAGCCTTACCCCTAATGCAAGGTAAGAATGAAAATTATAGTTTTTTTTTTTTTTTTAAACTATACATTTTAAGACAGGTACTTGAATTAGGTTTTAATGGCAGTACTAAAGTTCCTACTTAGTCTGAAGGATTAAGAGAACAGTAGTAATAATTGTTGCTAGTACTGGGTTATGTAATAGATTACTCAATAGTAGTCTACTAAATTGCCCAATAATAAAGCAGGAGAAGTACTAACATTTTTTAAAAATAGATTTTTATATTTCTGAATAAGAGCATCTCAGTGGGCATTGTGGAGAAAAAGCAGAATTTTGATGGATTTTAAATTTCATGGTTATGTTTAATTACATATGAATATTATGATTCAAACACAGGTTCCTTTACATGAACTAGTTCATTTAATCCTCATTACTACTCTCACTAAGGTCGATAGTAAAGGGTACAGAGATTTTAATTCAAATCTGCCTGGCTCTAAAGCTCATGCTTTCAGACATCTCCACTGAAGCACTTTTAGCAGCCTAACCAAGAGGCATATCTGCATTAATAAAATATAAGAAAAGCTAGATATAGCATAAGCCAGCAAAAAAATAAATTGTATGAAAATTAACCTTGTTGAGAGAGGCTTTTAGTAGCAACCTTCTCAAAGCATAGCTACAACTATTTTTTAACAAGATGAAGTGCTGAAAAACAGCAAGCCTTGTTGAGAATAGAGAATTAAGATTTTAATAGATAAAGCAAAGTATGTTCTTGGATGAGTGGACCAAATATTATAAAGGCCGCAATTCCTCCCAAGTTAGCAATGTATTAGATCTATAATTTAATCAAAATGTAAATAATTTTTTGTGCTTTAAATAAAACAGAAAATTCAGAAATTTTTAGGAATGAGCAGGTGAAACTAGCAAAGACTTTATTTAAGGTGTAATGGGGGAAGTAACAGAATAGTCACAGAGATGTAGATTACAGCATAGGAAATATAGTCAATAATATCATGATAACTATATATGGGGCCAGGTGGGTACTTGAAGCTGGGGTGTGGGGGGTGTGGGGATCGTTCTGTAAAGTACTTGATTTTCTAACCATTTTGCTTTACATCTGAAACTAATACAAAATAATACTGAATGCAACTGTAATTGAAAAATAAAACATACATTTTCATTTTTTTAAAAAACAACAAGAGAACATTTCTGTGCAAGATGGCATAATACTTTCACTTAAAAAATATTTTTTTTCTTTATTGATTTTAGAGAGAGAGGAAGGGAGAGGGAGAGATAGAAACATTGATGAGTGAGAACATCAATTGGTGCCTCCTGCATGCCCCCCACTGGGGTTTGGGCCCACAACCTGGGCATGTGTCCTGACTGGGAATCAAACCGGTGACCTCTTGGTGCATGGGTCGACGCTCAACCACTGAGCCACACTGGCCAGGCAGTACTTTTACACTTTAATTCATCTGCTCTTGTGCCAAACACACTGCATAATAGGTTAAATATAACACAAATAAAAAGATATAGCCTGACTAAAAAATATGAACATCTCAATGGAACAGAACCATAAAGCAGTGAGACAGTTGAAACCACAGCCCACCCAGCTACCTTCAGGATCTAGAAGCAGCATTGGCAGCCAGGAGTTTGACTTAATGTGGGATAATAATAGTGTGACAATATCACTTATTGTCCAAACCCAGGTGTTTTCAGGACAGGATGGTAGATGTAAAAATAAGAAGCATGTAAACGCCCTGGCCAGTTTGGCTCAGCAGTTGAAGCGTCCACCTGCGGACCAGAGAGTCCTGGGTTCGGTTCCCGCTAAGGGCGCATACCAAAAAAAAAAAAGAAAATGCTTTGCAACCCTGGCTGGTTTGGCTCAGCAGTTAGAGCGTCAGTCTGCGGTCCAGAGAGACCTGGGTTCGGTTCCCGCTAAGGGCGCGTACCAAAAAAAAAAAAGAAAGAAAAGAAAATGCTTTGCAGCCCTGGCTGGTTTGGCTCAGCAGTTAGAGCGTCAGTCTTCGGTCCAGAGAGACCTGGATTCGGCTCCCGCTAAGGACACGTACCTTGGTTGCCCTGGTTGGGTTGTGCAGGTGGCAACCACTCAATGTGTCCCTTACATGTCGATGTTTCTCTCTCTCTCCCTCCCACTCTATCTGAACAAAAAATGAAAAAATGTCCTCAAGTGAGGATAAAAAAAAAAGCATGTAAACAATACTATATAGCCTCCTCTGTGTGGCTCAGTGGTTGAGCATTGACCCCTACACCAGGAGGTTGCTGGTTCTATTCCCAGTCAGGACACATGCCCAGGTTGTGGGCTGTTCCTCAGTGGGGGGCATGCTGGTGGCAGCTAATTGATGTTCTCTCTCATGGATGTTTCTACCTTTCCCTCCCTCCCTCTCTAAAATCAATAAAGAAAATATTTTTAAAATAATAATACTATATAGTGTTCAAATTTATATATACGACGGGCAAAAGAAGGTTTACAGTTTGAGTTCACAAAACAGATTTTATTCTTGTATTATTATTTTTTAATTATTATATTATTTTCCATACGAACAACTCTAAACCTCCTTTTGCCCACCCCTGTGTGTGTATACACATATATCTGAGTACAATTTTTAAATGAAAAATTCCTAATTTAGGATAGTACTTACCCTGGAAAAGAAGGGAAGGTATAACACTGGAACTTTCAAATAAATTTTGAGCTTTTTTGCTAGCAATTTCTTTTCCATTTATTTGTTTCTCTTTGCTTTTTTGTTGTTGTTGTTGTTAATACTCACCACCTGAGGATATTTTTCCATTGATTTTTAGAAAGAGTGAAAGGGAGGGAAGGAAGGAGAGAGAGAAACATTGATGTGAGAGAGACATCGATTGGTTGCCTCCCACAGGACCCAACCAGAGCTGGGGATTAAAACTTCAACCCAGGTATGTGCCCTTGACTGGGAATCAAACCCCCAACCCTTTGATCCACGGGCTGATGTGCTAACCATTTAGCAAACTGGCCAGGGCTCTCTTTGCTTTTTAAAAACTTTTTGTTTTGAAATAATTACAGATTCACAGGAGGCTGCAAAGAAATGTACAGGGAAGTCCCAGAACCGTTTTCCCAACTAGCCCTCATGCAACATCTCATACTGCAGTACAGTATTAAAACCAAGAAACTGACATTGGCATGATCCCTAGAACTTACTTTTTTAGATTTCACCATTGATACATGCACTCATTTGTGTGTATGAGTGTGTGTACATGGGTGTGTGTGTATTTAGTTCTGTAGTTTTGTCATGTGTAGCTTTGTCTAACTACCACCATAATCAAGGTACTCAACTTGATCATCACAAGATTCTCTCATGCTAATGAATTGTTACTTTATAAAGCTGTTTTTGTGTTGAAATAGCTATTAAATAGGTATCTAATAAAAAATTTTGATGGAATTAGGAATAGAAAAAGTCTTTGTTCAATTTTACTATTCTTACTGCCATTGAAGTTGCTATGTATGAAGTTGGAGATGCAATGTAAATACTCACAACATTAAATATGACACTGTTCTAAACCAAATATTTTTAGTTTGGCATACTTAAATATGCGCTAGCCTTTGACACTTAAAAGAAGATAATTTTAAATACTTTGAAATTCTAATTCATTCTGCAAACTACAATATCATTTAGTCTTTACTTGGTATGAATGTGACTGATCAAAAATCTTAACCAAAATATAGTCGTGGAGTCAGTGGCAGTACAGTTGACAACTGAGCAGCATGGGTTTGAATGGCACAGGTCCACTTTTTCACACTCAGACTTTTTTCAGTAAATATATAGTCAGCCCTCTGTAGACCCTTGTTTCGCATCTATGGATTCAATCAACAGCGGATCAAAAACAGCATTTTCAAGCCATGTTTAGGAATCTGCAGATGCGGAGGGCCAACTCTATTAATTGTTCTACACCATTTTATATAAGGACCTTGAGCATCCTTGGGTGTGGTATCCATAGGGGCTCCTGGAACCAGCCCTGAGGATACCAAGGACAATTGGGAATCCAAAGTTATACTTGGATTTTCTTTTTTTTTAATAATTTTTTTTTTTTTCAATTTCTTTTTTTTTTCATCCTCACCCGAGGACATTTTTCCATTTTTTACTCAGATAGAGCGGGAAGGAGAGAGAGGAAGAGAGAGAAACATCGATGTGAAAGGGACACATCGAGTGGCCGCCACCCACACGACCCAACCAGGGCCGGGGACAAACTGCAGCCAAGGTACATGCCCTTAGCGGGAACCGAACCCAGGTCTCTGTGGACCGCAGGCTGACGCTCTAACCGCTGAGCCAAACCGGCCAGGGCTATACTTGGATTTTCAACTATTTGGGGGGTTAGTGCCCCAACCCCCTCATTGTTCAAGGGTCAACTATACTTAATTATAAAGTGGTCATTCAGATAATATAAAATATACTTAAAGTAATTATTTTCTACATTATAAAAATGAGAACACAGACGTTTAAAAATTTTGCTACACCCAAGGACTCCTGGGAATCTTAGTTTGTGTAACACTGCTTCCAACCCCATAGTTCCGCTTGGTCCACTCTCCTACAGGAATAATTCAAAATCAGTAAGTGAAAAAGTGAGGTGTAATAAAATGGTGTAAATATCGTATATAAATGCATGAATTTTTATGTGTTTCCACACTGCCTCTTTCACAAAGATTTTAGAAAGCATCGTATAAGATACGATTTCCACATCAAATATTAGTGATTTAGGGCTATGGGATTGATATTTTTGTTAGATTTTATTATATATTCGAAGTTTTCTACAGTGCACTAACCTACTGACTTAAAAAAAAAAATAGTCCTAGATTTTCCTTAAAAGGAAGTAGAAAAGCGTTTCCTCTTTAAGTAGGCCAGTATATGATGTTCCTTGAAGAAAGGAAAAGAAGCTAATATAGACAAGCCAAGTATTTCACATTCTCTTCATGTATTTTACTGCTAGCTATTATCTTTTGATGTTAACATTCTGGATTTGAATTCGTTTGTTTTTTGTTTTCTTTCCTTAGGGGGATTTTCAGGCTACTAATAAAGTATCAGCTGGATAACCAGGATAACCCTTCTTACATTGGTATCCAATATTTATATTACATTGTGTGACTTTTGTTTCACCCTATAATTCCTTTTTCTGGAATCTAGTAATAGCACTGCAGTTTTTCACAGCAGTGAATAAATGGTTTGCTCTGTGATCATTGTGCCTGCCATCTTGCAAATAATCAAACAACCCTACAGATGCACTGCTGAGCAGGCTGTTTGTCAAAGCAAATTGAAATGTAAACCCAGCTTGCTTTTTAAATTTCTTGTGCCAACTATGGATGTGTGGCTACCAATTACATATATTTCATACATTGGGCATCTTATATTTTCTTCCCTTTGAGTGAAAACAATGTGTTAAACATTTTAATAATTGTTCAGCTCTCATGACTTACTAGTTCCCTCTTTAAAAGTCAACTGTATTCACAGTATTTAAAACTGCCCACAGAGTTATGTAAAACTTGGTCACAGTTGACTCTTTTCGACCAGTCATTTTTGTTTAAAAGATATAAGCCACAGTATTCTCGTTCTGCTTCTTCTAGAGGCAGTTAACCTGTTTTTTTCTACAATCAATACTTAATGACTGCTTTGAAATACTGTGATCATAGCACTTTTGTGTTCTTTGGTATGGGTATCCATCTATGGGGTCATGTCTTAAATGCTGACTCACGTTCATATCTCCTCTTGAACTCTCCAGGACTTTCTTTTCAAGATTTTTATCAGCAATGTCGGGAGGCATTCCTTGTCAACAGTGATCTGACACTTCGGGCCCAGTTAACTGAATTTAGGGACCACAAGCTTATAAGAACCAAGAAGGTGAGACTTTGGTGTCACAGCATTCTATTCCAGAAATAGCATATTGTGTTTATTTAAGGACAAGTGTACCTTTGACTGAGATCTGATTGTGGAACTGAAGTTCCATGATGGGTCACAAGGATCCATTTAGGCAATGCGCCATTTCAGTTCTGTAGAAATAGATAAGACAGTGAGATTAGAGAGGCAGGAACTAAGTCTAGAAGTGTGACATTTAATGGCCAAGTAAAAGATAAGCCTGCAAGGTGAGAGAAACAGCCACAGTTAGGAAGAAAACCAGGATATGATTTCACAAAAGCCAAGAAAAGCATGTTTTAAGAAAAAAAAGAATCGTCATTGGTGTCAGGTGCTGCTGAGAGGCCAAAAGAGGAAGACTAAAAAGATTTATAGGATTTAGGAAAATGGAATTCCTTGGTCTAAGTCAGCAATTTTCAACTGGTGTGCCACAAGATTTTGTAAAATATGCAATACCTGACTGTTTAGTCAGGGGCACTGACCTCTTTTCCCTTAGATGTTCAAATAAAAAAAGAACAGTAGCCAACACAATAGCTATCTGGTGTGAATGAATCAAAAGTATGCTTATTTTTGTCAGATTAGCAAAAAATATATTTTTTGGTGTCTCACAGAATTTTAGTAGTTTATGTATGCCATGACATGAAATAGGTTGAAAATTGCTGGTCTAAGCAAAAGCTCTTTTGGTGACATGATAGTAGTGGCAGTAGCTAGGGTGGACTGGGTTGAGGGAAAAGTGAGGAAATGGAGACCTCCCACTCTATCTGGAAAGGTGCAGAGGTTGGGTGATAGTTGGAAAAGAATGAGGAGTCCAGTGAGGGTCACTTAAAAATGTAAGTACCTAAATGTATTTAAAAACCAATGGAAAGGCCCTGGCCGGTTTGGCTCAGCGGTTAGAACATTGGCCTGCAGTCCAGAGAGACCTGGGTTAGGTTCCCACTAAAGGCACATACCTCGGTTGCAGTTTGTCCCTGGTCCTGGTTGGGTCCTGAGGGGTGGCAACCACTTGATGTGTCCCTTTCATGTCTGTTTTTCTCTCTCTCCCTCCCACTCTATCTGAACAAAAAATGGAAAAATGTCCTCAAGTGAGGATCAAAAAAAAAAACAAAAAAAACAATGGAAAGGATCCAGTTGAAAGGGAAATAAAAGAACAGAGAAATCAATAGTGTAAGATTTATAGAACCAGAGGATAAATAAATACCCACTTTCCCTGTAGTCTTTTTTCCCCATTACAAAGTGGCTTAACCATAAACTCAGTGTATTTAAATACATATATATGTCTATGTGCCCTTTTGCCTTAACTTCATATTTCAAAATTTATATAAAATATTAAATCCATTTTTTAACCTACGATAGGATTCAAATTTATCTCTTACAAATGACTAACGTCCAGGGTATTCTTACTTCTTTTAGGGAACTGATGGAGTGGAATATTTGTTAATTCCTATTGACAATGGAACATTGACTGAGTTCCTGGAAAAGGAAGAAGAGGAGTCTTGAAGCTGTCCTTTACTATTCAATATTTTGTGGAAAGGTTGTACTTCATCTGCTACTCCTATAGTCTAAAGTGTTGTGTTTACATCCAACATCAGACTCCTTTTCCATTGTACAAGATTTAAAATTGGGAGGGGAAAATATCATGAATTAGAACCTCGATTAGCCTGGCTGGTGTACCATCTTTAGTACTATGCTATTCCGTGGTCCTCAAGTTGGAGAAAATGTGCCTTTCATTCATTACCTCTCTGGAGATTCTTGCTGGAATGAACATTGTGCTCAGGGACTATTTGGAACTGGATGTTTTTTAATTATTTTATACTAGAGTGTTTTTTTTTTAACACTCTAGAAGCTGATTGTTTGCAAATGTGCTCGTTCCACAGTGTGGATGTCCAAAGACATTGGCATCACGTAAGTCTGCTTTATTTGTTGTTCTGTGTGTCAGAAATGATAAGTGAAACAGAGAAGGCAGATAATCTCTTACTATTACTGAAATGACTTAACAAAAGGTATAAAATTGGGGAAACTAGGTGATCCAGCTTTCTCCTTTTGGATTTAAGCTCCATTTTGGGGGGGGGGGTGAGGCAAGACACTATTCAGTTGGAATAGTGGGAAAAGCATAACAAATATATAGGGTGTATACCCAGCCTAGAAATCACATGAAAAATAATGAAACATAATATCTAGGACTACTAATGTCAACTAATGTTTGTGCCATCACCTTCATGGTATAAGTGGGAAGCCAGACTAGAGAAATATACTTCTAAATTACTTTTTCGTCATTATTTTCAAGACAACAGAAAATAAAAATTTAATTATTCTTGTATATCAACATTTTTTTTTTTGTCTTGAATAACATGCAGGTGAGTAGCATATTAATGGCTGGCTTTATCTATCAGGTACACCTAAGACTCACTGTAAGACATTTCAGTTTTTGTGTTACAGTGACAATGTCAAGCCTCCTAAATATTTACACGAGCCTTTTCTCTTTCCTAAGAAAAAAAGTAAACCTTGGACATTGTAGTCAGCTTATAGTTTTCACATACTCCCTGAAATATTTCAGACTTGGAAATGAAATTCTTCATTAATATATCATTGTAATAAAGTATGTACTGCATCTGCATTTTTTGTAAATTCCTTTCATGAAAATATTTCCTAAAATACTCAGAATTTTAAAATATTTCTTGTGGCATATAATTAATCAGCTTTACAGTAAATCAATGAATTAAGGGTTTAATCTCAAAAACAGATAATCTCTTACTATTACTGAAATGACTAATTACTAATCAAAATATTTAAGAATTTGCACAATTGACTAAAAATTGTTTTAATCGTACCAAAGGCTATTCAACGAAAAGCAGTTTCTTTCCTATTCCTTGATCCAGTCCCTTAGGCAACCATTGATAGTTTAATCTTCCAGAGGTAGTCTATGCACATGTAAGGGTTTCTGTCTATATTTTTTCTCTTTAAAAACAGAAATGGTAGCATACGATACTGGTTTGCACATTTTTCTTTTTCCTTTTTGTTGAACCTATCTAGTTTATAATAACCCACAGTATAAAAAAGTATACAAAATCTTTAATGACCTAATGAGCAAACTTTACATTTGCCCTTAAATATTTACTAGTTTATTTTTATAATTTTTGTGCCTATACTATTTGCAAGGAGTATGTGTCAATAGTCTTTACTATCAATAAAAAGCCAATTTGGATAGAATCACTTTTTCATTTATAGTATTGGTTTTTTCACTAAAAACATCTTAAGTTTCTCAGATATTTTGAGTGTATCTTACAGATCTGATGAAGATTTCAGTAGAATTACATGATCTTTATTAACTTATTTCAGCATCAATGTTCCTATCACAGTCTGACTGCTAACGTTTCCATTTTTGCTATTACTTGCTTTTTTTGTTTGTTTTTTTGGTACGTGCCCCTAGCGGGAACCAAACCTGGGACTCTCCGGTCCTCAGGCCGATGCTCCAACCACTGACCCAAACCGCCAAGGCGCTGTTACTTGCTTTTGACAAGACTGAACAGACCAGAAACCTTGAAAGGTTTTTCTGGCTGCTCTTAATAAAATAGTAAATAGGCCAAAAAAGGCACAGAGGATATAAAACAGACATTTACACTCTACAATCTTGGCATAAGAATGAAATCCTTGTGAGGCAGTGTTTAATCAGTTCTTGCGATGATCCAGAAATTAGACATTCTTAGCATCATGCTTGTCATTTTAATATATACAAATTCAGTGAACCTGGCAGATGGTTAATAGATTTTACTTAACTCTTTAAAAAAAATTACTAAGGCCCTGGCCAGTTTGGCTCAGCGGTTAGAGCGTCCACCTGCGGTCCGGAGAGACCCGGGTTCGGTTCCCGCTAAGGGCATGTACCTCGGTTGCAGTTTGTCCCCGGCCCTGGTTGGTCATGCAGGTGGCAGCCACTCGATGTGTCCCTTTCACATCGATGTTTCCCTCTCTCTCTCTTCCTCTCTCTCCCTCCTACTCTATCTGTACAAAAAATGGAAAAATGTCCTCGGATGAGGATTAAAAAAAAAAAAATTACTAAGAGCCCAGCTGGTGTGGCTCAGTGGTGGAGCATCAACCCATGCACCAAGAGGTTGCTGGTTTGATTCCCGGTCAGGATACACGCCCAGGATGTGGGCCCAATCCCCAGTGGGGGGACATGCAGGAGGTGGCCAATCAATGTTCTCTCTCATCAATGTCTCTCTCTCCCTCTCCCTATCTCCCTTTCTAAAATCAATAAAGAAAAAAAATTTTTTTAATTACTAAGAAAACTTTTATTAGGTGGGCTCCCCCAAGTCCAACCCTGACCTCACCACCCTGACTTGGGAGTCAGCTCACCCAGCTGTCAACCTTCACCTCCACTTCCAGGAAGTCATTATGTGACTAACACTTTTTCATCAAATTTCCTCTGACTTACCTGAAGTATAAGTGAGAAGGATATGTACTACCAAGAAATGTAGAATTTGCTGTTTTCTTAATCTATGAGAATAAAGTGAAGGGGGAAATTTGCCAGTGCATCATGCCTGTCCAAAACTTTTCCAAGTTTTCAGACTGCAGCAGAGCTGCTGAACAATCATATAAGAATCCACAACACAAGAGTTACCTGGAACAAGTGTCCCTGAGACAGCTATTCCCTTTTTTATGAGGTTACATGTGGGGGCAGAATTTGACAGAAAAAAATGGAACAAATTCGATGGGAAACAACCATTGATCCTGAAGAAGACCTGAACAAACTAGATGACTAGGAACCTGCAAAGGGAGAAGAGCATCATGGATGACCTTTTGAGAAAAATCAGAAGGATGATCCAAATTTTGTTTATGACATCAAAGCTGAGTTCCCAAAGGATGAACAACTGCATACCTGTGGCTGGGACAGTCAGCTGATGAGTTTTGGTAACAAAAACATTTATTGGGCTAGCAGAAACTCTATGTTTATACAGAGAATGTAGATTAGTTCTAGAAAAATCTATAAAGAATACTAAATGTACATGTTGGATCATATGTAGATTGACCATGTTACTTTTAAAAACCAGGACAGCCCTGGCCGGTTTGGCTCAGTGGTTAGAGCATCAGCCTGCGGTCCCGAGAGACCCAGGTTCGGTTCCCACTAAGGGCATGTACCTTGGTTGCAGTTTGTTCCCGGCCCTGGTTGGTCGTGTGGGTGGCAGCCACTCGATGTGTCCCTTTCACATCGATGTTTCTCTCTCTCTCTCTCCCTCCTACTCTATCTGAACAAAAAATGTCCTCGGGTGAGGATAAAAAAATAAAAAAATAAAAAAAAAAATAAAAACCAGGACATGTAGAGCACCTACTATGTAAGTGCATGAGAAACATAGGAAAACGGGAATTTAGGAATCTAACTTTAAGGGGCTTACAGTCTAATTGGAAGATATGTCAGAAACTTGTGAAAAGCTAATTAACAGTATTAAACAGCAAAAAGATTAAAGCCAAATGCTTGATGAAGGCAAAAAAGGGTCAGAGCCTAGATTACTGTAGAGAAAGACTTTGTCCATTAGCGTCAAGATGGGACTTTGGCCTTAAAATGGTAGTATTTGAATAGAAGCTGATATAGGATTCCAGATGAGAGAAATTGGGGGTGAGGTGCAGGGGACTAGTTAAGAGATAGGACTTAGAAACATTTAATTCGGGGACAATAAGAAAATTAGTTTAATAAGATTGGAGGGCACATGGGTACTAGGGGATTGTCCTGTGTTATATCTTCATATATATTTACAGTCAGCCCTCGTTCATTGCAGTTAATCAGTTCCAGACTCTACTGCAATAAATGAATTTCTGTGAAGTAGGATTATTTATATACAGTAGTCCCTTGCCACTTCGTGCTTCGACTTTCGTGGCTTCACTCTATCACGGATTTTTCAAATGTAGTATAGTATTTGAAAAAACTGCAATAGAGTGAAACTGCAAAAGTTGAAGCACGAAGTGGCAAGAGATGACTGTAACTGTTTTTTCTTTTTTTGTTGTTTTTTAAAGAATAGTTTATTGCCCTGGCCGGTTTGGCTCAGTGGTTAGAATGTCGGCCCGCAGACCAGAGAGTCCTGGGTTCAGTTCCCACTAAGGGCACGTACCTCGGTTGCAGTTTGTCCCCGGCTGCAGTTGGGGTTGTGTGGGTGGCAACCACTCAGTGTGTCTCTCTCAGATCGATGTTTCTCTCTCTTTCCCCCTCTCTCCCTCCCACTCTATCTGAAGATAAATGCAAAAAAAAAAAAAAAAGTTTATTGATTTTGAGAGAGGGACATTGATGTGTAAACACATCTATCAGCTGCCTCCTGCATGCCCCCTGATGGGGATCGAGCCCACAACCTGGGCACGTGCCCTTTACCAGGAACCGAACCAGCAAGCTCCTGGTGCACAGGACAATGCCCAAACAACGGAGCCACACTTGCCAGGGCTTAACTCTGCTTTATAAGTATTTAATTCTGTAGAAGAATACCCCTACACAATGCCCTGCAGCTACAAGTGCATGTCATTTCATGGACAGCAGAGGAATTCTGTCCCTCTGGTATCAGGAAAAATATACCAAGACATTCTGAAACCCTGAACCTCTTCCCATAAATAAAAGAGGTTTATTTGTAAACCTACCCATAATAAATGAATAGGTACTGCCAAATAAAAGAAAAAACTTTCCAGCTACCCACCTCCCCCGCAGCTAATTCAAATGCAGGGCCAGCAGCATTGTTCAGAAAGTGTTTTCCTACATTCTAGGAGAGATGACTGTTTCAGCTTGCCAGCCTGCAAAAATGGGAATAATAATACTTCTATGCTTGTTTATAAGGGATTGAAAGTGCTTATAAAGCACCTAGTAGAGTGGTTGGCACAAAATTAATATTGTATAAATCACTAGTATTTGAAACCTAATCAACTTTATAAATTACAGGTGCATTACCTAAAAAATAATAAAACAAGTTATATAAATAATAATCATGTATATTAAGAGAAAACCCCAAACCTCATTCTGATAAATCTCATCCATATTCTGAAATTCAGGAGGGAGAATAGTAATCTAGAAACAGGAATACATAGACAGACCTTATTGCCTCCTAGAGGCTACTACCTAGAAATGTGTTCCAATCCCAAGTTTTTAAAGTATATTTTAAAACTAACTAGGGGCAGAGAGATCTAGAATGACACATCCAATCTTTAATTAAGGAGATTACCTGAACTACTTCCCAAGGGTGTTAAGTAGACAGATTTTAGTAGACCTTGCCCAGTGTTTATAATACATTCTTTAATTTGTTCTTTATAATGAATATTTGTTCTTTTTCTTTTTTAAAATTTATTGATAATAGAGAGAGGGAGGAAGGGAGAGAGAGAGAAAGAAAAATGGATTTATTGTTCCACTTATCCATTCATTGGTTGCTTCTTGTATATGCCCTGGCCAGAGATCAAACCTGCAACCTTGGCGTACTGGGATGGTGCTCGAACTGAGCTACCTGGCCATGAATGAATATTTGTTCTTTAATAATAGTTACATTACAGTTTTTACTCTAAAAACTATAGAACACTTGGTGAAGCAGATCAACAAACCAGAAATGACAGTGTACATTCCAAAACAGTCTTCCAGAAGGATACAAACTCCGCTGATCATGTGTACTCAAGTTAGGAGTGAAATGATTTGTAAAGTAGATTGTCACTCTGTTCCTGTACAAATTACACCACTTGAAGAGGGTCCCTGTCAGTTTCTGACAGGATAATATTAACCTTATTCTCCAAGTGAGTACTCAGCATATCTCGAAGATCGGAAAGAAAGCCTCGTTCAGTGTTGCTATGTTCACAGAGGATGACACTTACTCCTTGGGAAGCAGCATCTAAAATATCATGATGGGACATCTCACCTGCCAGCAAAGAAAAGAAAATACTTCATTATTAGATGCAGAGTCTGCAATGCTGAATTTTTTTTTTTTTTCCATTTTTTGCACAGATAGAGTGGGAGGGAGAGAGAGGAAGAGAGAGAGAGAGAGAAACATCGACGTGAAAGGGACACATCGAGTGGCTGCCACCCGCACGACCTACCAGGGCCGGGGACAAACTGCAACCGAGGTACATGCCCTTAGCGGAAACCGAACCCGGGTCTCTCCGGACCGCAGGCCGATGCTCTAACCGCTGAGCCAAACCGACCAGGGCTGCAATGCTGAACTTTAACAGCAGAAAGGTTGTTTGTATTCTATATGAAGCAAATGTATTACGGCAGAACTTCACATATAAATCTAGAAAGTTATATATAGGTTTCTTATATGTCCTCCAATTTAAATAGACTGAGACCATCCTACTGAGAATTCTAATTTCTTTCTCCTTGGCAGACCCAAGACAAGTATCCAAACTCTCATATCCAACAGGTCTGCCAGAACCAGACCTGTAAGAACACCCATTCATATTGTTTCCACAATAAAATAAATGACCTAAGTAGAATGGGGCTTTCAGAAAGTTTCTTAAATATCAAATAACAAATCAGGGATACTTCCCAGAAGACTCCTTTATGCTTTGTGAGCACCAAAATTTTCAGCATCAACCCTAGTCTCAAGGATGGAATGAGCTTCATATTATTTTTAAATTTTAAAATGGTATTTTCCTTTGACTTAGGCAAAATTCCTAGAAATTCTGTAACTGCATGGAGAGGATTTCATCTTTTGTGAAAAGAATTTGGGAAAACTCAAATGTTTTGAATTTTTAAGAACACCATTTGTAAATCTGATGACTTCTAATTTCAGAGCAAAAATATTTTGTGCACAATTTTTGGCTTGTTCATAAAAGCATAATTTTGAAATATATATAGAAATATAAAGGCATAAAAAAATGAGGGAGCCCTGGCCAGTTTGGCTCAGCGGTTAGAGTGTCGGCCTGCGGTCCGGAGAGACCCGGGTTCGGTTCCCGCTAAGGGCATGTACTTCAGTTGCAGTTTGTCCCCGGCCCTGGTTGGTTGTGCGGGTGGCAGCCACTCGATGTGTCCCTTCACATCGATGTTTCTCTCTCTCTCTCCCTTCCTCTCTCTCCCTCCCATTCTATCTGTACAAAAAATGGAAAAATACCCTCAGGTGAGGATTAAAAAAAAAAAAAAAAAAAATGAGGGAAAAAAAGTGATTTCCCCTCAGAAATTTTCAATTGCCCATATTTCCATCCCCCATATGTGTCATTTCATTATAAGACATTTTTATTCAAGCACCTATTTAATCTTTCCTGGTTGGTTTGGCTCAGCGATTAGAGCATCGACCTGCGGTCCAGAGAGACCTGGGTTCAGTTCCCGCTAAGGGCATATTACCTTGGTTGCAGTTTGTCCCCGGCCCTGGTTGGTCGTGTAGGTAGCAACCACTCGATGTGTCTCTTTCTTTTTTTTTTTTTATCCTCACTCGAGGACATTTTTTTTTTGATATTTTGTTCAGATAGAGTGGGAATGAGAGAGAGAGAGAGAAACATCGATATGAAAGGGACACATCGAGTGGTCGCCACCCACACGACCCAACCAGGGCCGGGGACAAACTGCAACCGAGGCACGTGCCCTTAGCGGGAACCGAACCCGGGTCTCTCCAGACCGCAGGCCATCACTCTAACCGCTGAGCCAAACCGGCCAGGGACGATGTGTCTCTTTCACGTTGATGTTTCTCTTTGTCTCTCTGCTCCTCTCCCTCCCTCCCACTCTATCTGAACAAAAAATGGAAAAATGTCCTCAGGTGAGGATAAAAAAAAACCCACAAAAAAAAAACAAAACATTTTATCTATAATAGTAAAGGTAAAATAAAAGGAGAAAAAGATACTAAGGTGGCCCAGTTGGAAGCCATGCTTGAGGAATGATAAGATTGGCTGCCCAGGTTATAAATGCACTGGCTGAAGAAGGCATGAAAGAGGGGAAATCCATGAAGACCTTACACTAATAGCTGATGAAAGCAAAGAAGAAAGCCTGGCACAGGATGGCAGCTGTGGGAAAGAAAAAGCAAATGAGAGAATTTATAAGTATTTGCAAGGAGCAAGCTCCCCATCTGCTGGTCTTTCTGGGATATGTTACCCTTAACAACCTAATTCCACGTCAAGCTCTAAGAAGGGTGATGAGTGGCAGCAGAGGCCTATATTTGGTCTTTTGACTGATGCTTCTCATCTCTGAAGTTATATTGAAAGTGATGCTTCACCGATCATAGACATCTAAAGTCAGCCAGGTAAGAAGATATTTTTTGTTTCCCCAAGTAAACAGATAGGAAGGACATCTCAACATTTTGGAACTTGGTGAACTGTAAATTTATCTGACACACATATTGCTTTATTATTATAATAATAATAATAACACCTAGTTTTTAAAAAGTCATTATTTATGAGAAAACAGACATCCCAAATTGAATTAAATATGTATTTTAACAATATTAAGTTCCTGAAGTTGATCAGTGTTCCATGGTCATAGAAGAGAATGTCCTTTTTCTCAGGAAATTTTTGCTGATGTATTTAGGAGTAAAAGGTCATCATGTCTGCAATTTATTACAAAATGGTTATGGGGGAAACAAATATATAAATATAATATTTATACACACAAAAATATACACACATATATAATATGTACAGAGAGAGAATATGTACAAATGTGGCAAAATATACCCATTGGTAATCTAGGTGAAGAGCATACAGGAGTTCATTGTACTCTTCTTGCAACTGTTCTATAGGTCTGAATTTCCTTCAAAGTAAAATGTTACAATTAGACCATGCTGTAAGATAGTCTGTCAAATTGCCTATACATTAAAATTTTATTTCATTCTGGTACAAGACTGAGGGCTTATAAAAATCTTACACTTTCAGAAGGATAGAAAAGAAAGCAGCTATGCACATGTTCAGTTGGTTCAGAGCAATTACATCTGGCTTGCTCAGATGCTGTACCTCCATACTTCTGGACGTGACAATGTTTCAAGTATATCAGCCTTTGTAAGAGGGGGTGCTAGATAATAAGGCATGGGTGTGAGAGGCAGGAGAGGCGCAGAAATAGCGAAGGGAATGGCCAGAGGGTTAAGGCCCTAACATCTTGATCCCAGAAGTGGGAAATGGACTCTGTAACTCCCTCTAACACTGAGGAGGAGTAGAGGTGGACATGCAGCAGGTAGGTAACAGCAAGTGTACAAAGTGCCTCCAAATCCTTTGGAGGAATGAACAGCCATGTTACCTACTAGGTATTATCCGAAAGGATAGTGTAATGCCTGGGAGCCAAACAATTACCGCCCAGTAGAAATGCATACAGGAGGTTAAGGACAAAGTGACAAGGATCAGAGAGGAAGGCAGGGCCATCAGGAAAAGGAGCCAGAGAATAGCAGAAAAGGCTTCTCAGAGAAAGCATCTTTGAGCTCATCTCTAGAAGTACAAAGAAAGGGGCAAGAAAAAGGCACTCTAATGAGAGAAAACAGCATAAGCAAAGGCTGCATGAAAGACGAAACGTTCGGGCTTCACCAGGAAAGATGAAGGAAATCACTTCAGGTTTTTTAGCCAGGATATTATCCACCATCAAATTTGCACTTTTTAAAGTTAATTTGGGGGAGTGTGTAGATGATAAAGATAAGAGGCTTGCCCTGGCCTCGTGGTTCAGTCATCCCATGTACCAAAAGTTGGCAGGTTCGATCCCAGTCAGGGGACATGTGGGAGGCAACTGATAGATGTTTCTCTTACATGGATGTCTCCCTCACATCTCTCTCTTCCTCTCTCCCACCCCCTCTTCCTCCCTTTCACTCTCTCTCTAAAATCAATAAAGACATATCCTCAGGTGAGGGTTTAAATAAATACATACATAAATAAGATCGGAGGCTTGATGATGTCCTTTGGGTAAGAGATGATGTCTGGATAGAGATAAAGGGAAAGATCCTAGAAAGATTTTGGAGCTAGAACTGGTGATGAACTGACGGCTGACTTCAGGGCTGAGTAAGAGGAACCACCTTCTAGCTAAGGCAACATGGAGAAAGTGACATGAAGTCTGAGAGAAACCATGTTTAGGAGGAAGATAGGTTAAGTAAATGCTAAACTTACGTATTTTTAAATAATCTAATAATAAACTGTTAAGTGATTTTTCCGTCCACAAAGAATATGGTACGTCCCCAGTTTTGGTGTAGTTCCTATTTACTTCAGGTTCAAAAAATATTAGCTCCATCTATATGCCAGGTACTGTCCTAAAATTTGCTATTTTTTAACTTGTAAAAAATAAACCAAGGTTGGGAAAGGATACACACACCAAAAAAGGGGGGGTAGAAAAGAAATCCAAAGGCTGCCTACCTGTGAGGTAAAGGTCGGCCTCTGCTCCTTGCAGAACACTGCTCCCAGAACCAGCGCACAGAGCCACAACTCTGACTTGGGACTCTTTAAGGTAAAGGAAACGCGATCAATACTTTACAATTCCTCCTCATTTTAATATTACAATTTGTACTAAGAATCCTAAATGTAAAGCAGATTTCACTCCTGGTCTCATCACCAGTATATGAATTTTAAAAAAATAACAAAACATGTCTTCCTATAGGCAACAGATTATTCTTTGGTACTGCATAGCCAACCCAAGGCAGGGCTACTATTCCTTTGGACATACATCGCTGCACAAGCCCGTATAAGGCACCACTGAGTAATACTAACAGTACCACTCCAGGCTTTACTACAATGCTACTAGGCAAAGTAACCTCACCTGGGTCCCCAGGCAACAGGGAGAGGTACGCAGGTACTATCTGTTCTCAGGTGAAGTAGAGAAACTAAAAGGATTAGTTAGAAGAACACTACAATTGGATTATGACACATTTTTAAATACCATATTTACTGTAAAAGAGAATCCTCTGAAGAGTGAAATAACAAACTTTCAGGCCAAAATCCAACAAGTATTTAGCACCTGTTTCTAGAATGGACACTTTATTAGTGGTCACGCAATAGTGCTATTTCAAAAGGGGTTTTGGAGTTGAATCTGAAATCAAATCTCACCTCTGCCGTCTATTTTCTTTAGAAATGAACTCCCATGAGTTATTTGATCCAACTGTGGACTTCTGAATAAGATAAGTATCTCTCTGAAACTCAATGTCTTCACTGATACAATGGGAACACTAACACCTACCACAGAGCTAATAGCATTTACCGCATGCCCTGTCAAATGGAGCATACATCCACTCGATGAGTTCAGTTTTATTATTACTACAGTTTTTACAGATGTGGCTATCAGGACACCAAGAGGCTAAATAACTTGTCAGAATCATGCAGGAAATAGGACAGATAAATCTGAACCCAAGATATTCAGAATCCACACTCACAACCTCTGGGTTCCTTTGCAGTGGAAACTCACATACTTAACATACTCAGTACTGTGCTAGACAAACTGCAGGAAACCAACAAATGTTCTGTTCATTTCTTTTGCTCCCAAAAGTGGCTACCGGACTCAGAAACTGCAATGGATCACTTCACTTAGCAGCACCTCACTATAAAGTATAGCCAGTATTGTAAAATGCCAAGATTTGCATGGTAACTGCAGCAGTCATAATTTCCAACTCTCTTCCTGGCACATAGTAGGACAGCACTTCATGCCCAACTTGGGTTAGACTGGGCAATGTGACTAATGACTATAAGTTAAACACAAGTTCATTTCTAGGCTAGAATGTTTAACTGATGGTCTAAGACTTTGCAAAACTCTCCGTCGGCAACAGCAACAGCCTACAATGGGCAGACTGACTTCCCCTGCTGATCGGAGATGAACAGACTGTGGAGAAATAAATCTTGTTGAAGCCAATGAGATATCTACCACAGTACAACCTAGACCACCCTGATCAACAGCATAAACCAGTCATCTCCCCTGACTGCTAACAGGTTTTCTTTCACTTACATTAATACAATCAAGAGTTTCAACTTTTGCCCAATGTTAACAGTATGTATACTGGACAAATAAAGGAGACATTATTTACCTAAGGTCCTCCCTACCCCAAGAGCAAGGCGAACATGAGATAGTTTTAGGTGCATTTTGATTCGTTTAATCATGGTTGCCAAGGAGACAGATTCATCCAGGGTGCATAACCGTCCCATTCCAGTGTGCAGAAGCAGAGGCTGAAAAGAAACAGAAGTTAGAAAAACTGTCAATCACCAGTCCTAGAAAACAAACATATAGAACAAACAGCACCCTCGCTGGTGTGGCTCAGTGGTTGAGCATCAACCCATGCACCAAAAGGTCACCAGTTCAATTCCTGGTCAGGGAACCTGCCCAGGTTGTGGGCCAGATCCCCAGTGGAAGGCATGCAGGAGGTGGCCAATCAATGTTCTCTCTTTGATGTTTCTCTCTCTCCCATCCACTCTCTCTGGAATCAATAAAGAAAAAAAAAACAAAAACAGCAAACACTGAGATCAACATAACATGCACACTGTGAGCTCATTACAGCCAGCTCCAGCCTGTATCCTGGGGGTACAAATCTGAAAAAAATATTCTCTGACTTGGAGGAGCTCACAATCTCCTGGGAAGGCAGATATTTAAATAAATAATCACAATAAAAGTGTTTAAATACAAGGTAGATACTATTTTTTAATGAGAGCACAAAGGAATGACAACATAAATGAGATGGATCTTAGAGGAAGTAGAATGAATGGTTTTATAAGGATTTGAGTGTTGAAGACAAACCAGAAAGGAGTTAAGAGTGATGTCAAGTGCAGGTGGAAGGACAGGGATAGGGTGAAATGTGGAAAGGCATTCTAAACACAGAACATGTACAAAGGTGTCATGGTGTGCAAGTGCACACTGAGGGCAGATTCAAGAGCAGGCTGTATCGCTGGTGTACAGAGCAGGGCATGGGCACCACAGCCAGTCATAATAGGCTCTGTACACTATGCCTGGATTGTCTCCTATAGGTGTCCACTTAGAAGACCACTCATATCACAAGTGAGGGAAGATGAGTTTTCAGCTGTGGTAGCAAAGTAAACAGAGGGGAGAAACAATTTCATAGTTTGGGGACAGGATAAACAGGGCTTAGATTTACAGGGGCAGGGAGAGTTGTGGAAACTCGGAAAATAAGGTAGATAATGTTGACACCATTGAAAAAGAAACAAGAAATGTAGTATTTAAAGGGGTGGTGTGGGGATAATATCTGCATGTATTTATTGTACTTGAAATACTTGTGGGATCTGTAAATGGAAAATGAAACTAGTTGGAAGTGTGGGCTTGCTTTTTATTTTTCAACTTAAGAAAGCACTTTGAAAGTAAAGACATAGGAATCATCATACAAATAGCTGTCAAGTTAAAGGACTGAATAAAATGGTCCAGGCAGAGGGTATAAAATAAAGAGACCAAACCTGTCACCCTGTAACTGAGGAGTACTGCTATGATATGCATGTTTCTGCCCCACCTCCAAATTCATGTTGAAAACATAACCCCCAAATGTATTAGGAGGTAAAGCCTTTGGGAAGTGCTTAAGTCATGAGGGTGGACCCCACACAAATTGAATTAGTGCATTAGAAGAGAGATTCCAGAAACATCCCTAGTCCCTTCTACCATGTGAGGACACAGAGAAAAGGCACATCTATGAACCACAAGTGGCCTCTCACCAGACACCACTCCAAATTTGCCAGTGCCATGACTCTGGACTTCCCAGTCTCCAGCACGGGAGAAATAAAGTTGTATATAAGCTATCCAGTGTGTGGTATTTTGTTATAGCAACCCAAATGGACTAAGACAAGCACCAACATTTTCTTATACCTGGAATGTCTCCTTTTCTGAATATACTTTCTAGGGAACATTATGCCCTCATCATCACTTTGTACTTCAGATAACAGTTAATAGCCTATTGATCTAACAATTTACAAATGAATTTGCCAAACAAAAATGCTCAGCAACTTAAGATTTTTTTTTTTTTTTTTTGGTACGTGCCCCTAGCGGGAACGGAACCCGGGACTCTCTGGTCTGCAGGCCGACGCTCAACCGCTGAGCCAAACTGGCCAGGGCTAAGATATTTTTATTACCTTCTCCAGTGACAGAATTTCAGTCTTCTGATAAAGTTGTCTGTTCTGGGAAAGAAAAGCCACCACATGCATCAAAGCCTGCTGACTACAATTCAGACTGATCCGTGTTTGTTCTTCATCATCAGTCCTGTAATGAAAGTCACTCAATGGTTTAGGATAAATATAAACGAAATGTATTTTAGATAATCTATAGTTTACAAACTCCTATAATAGGAGATTAGATATATACATCTGTGAATGGGCTGGGGCAAACTGAATTGTCTTTAAAGCCCTAGAGAAGTTAATTTCCAAACAACACTGCATACAAAGATGTCCTGGACAGATTCTCTGGCAAACCTCATTCTAATTACATAGATTTAGGATAAAGCCAAAAATCTGCATTTTTCATAAGTATCCCATTAACAATGAGGCAGGAGGTACTTGAATCACCCTTTGAGAAGCAATGCCTTAGAGCTTCTCCAAAAAGATTGGCATCAAAAAAATTTTGTATTTAACCATAAACTCTAAATATAGAATTCTAGAACTACAAGGCAACTTAAAATATAATCTGGAAGTGTAGCTGTCAATGTTGGAATCACCTGTGGAGCTTTGAAAAGCAAAAGCAAAAACAATGCTTGGGCCCTGACTAATGGTCAAACCCAGATATGATCTGTAATATGGTAAATCTAGAACCAAACTAAATGTGCATCAGTTTTTTTAAAAAGTCTATCAAGTCTCTTCCTCTCTTGGTTCTTTCTCTTGCTGTCCGTGCTGGGCTCCCACGCCCTGCATTCGCCCATGTGGCCCATGGTCATGTGGGACCCACACAATGGACCACTGGACTAACTCCAGACTGATGCTCTACCAGACCCAACTCGACCCTGAAACTCTGGACACTGGCCCTGCTCCTACCTTTGCTGAACCCACAGCTGCCCCTCTTCCAGGACTGGTTTAAAGGAACTGAGACTTCACAATCCAAGGAATGTTACTCCACCCAAATAAAGTCTTTTACCACACACAAAAAAGGAAAAAGTCCATCATGCCTGGCTGGTGTGGCTCAGTAGATTGAGCATTGTCCCGTGGACTGAGAGGTTCTGGTTTGATTCTTGGTGAGGGCACATGCCTGGGTTGCAGGCTCAAGCTCCATTAGGGGACATGCAGGAGGCAGCCAATCGCTGTTTCTTACATCGATGTTTCTATCTCTCTCCCTTCCTCTCTCTAAAAAGTCAATAAAAACGTACTAAAAAAAAAAAAGAAAGTCCATCAATCAGGAAGAGGAATGCTTCAACAATCCACAGTACATCCATAACAAGAAACATTATTCAGCAGTTAAAAAGAAAAAAATATTATATATCTACATGGGAAGATCTCTAAGACATCTTATTAGTAAAAAGGCAAATATACCATACCATTTAATTAAGAGAACAAAGAATAAAACAAAACTATACATTTCCTCATGTCTCTGTATGTATTTGGAAAGATACCCACTTCTCTGAAAGGGGAATAATAATGACGAGTTAAAGATACTGGAATTGGGTAGAAGGGACAAGGAGGACTTTAGTATTGTTTGATTTTTTTCATGCTTTACTTATAAAATATTCTTTTAATTTTAGTATTTATACAGTATTTCAGTGTGGTAAAAGACATCCATGACTAGAATCTATTAAAAGTCCTATAAACAATTTTTCTTAAGATTCTTGAAATTCTCCAATACTATTAGAGGACATTGCAATGACTTTACGATATGGTATCTATTCTTAAACCACTCATCAAAGGCGTCATTTTATTAAAAAGTCATTATACTTATCTTTATTTTTTTACAGCACTTATTATATCCTAGCTTTGTATAACTTGTCTTTTAAAGGATAAATTCACCTAAAAGAACATCTCCTATGAGTCAACATTTTTTTTTTTATCCTCACTTGAGGACATTTTTTGATATTTTGTTCAGATAGAGTGGGAGGGAGAGAGAGAAAGAGAAACATCGACGTGAAAGGGACACATCCAGTAGTTGCCACCCGCACAACCCAACCAGGGCCGGGGACAAACTGCAACCGAAGTACGTGCCCTTAGCGGGAACCGAACCCGGGTCTCTCGGGACCACAGCTGACGCTCTAACTGCTGAGCCAAACCGGCCAGAGCTGAGTCAACATTTTAAATAATTATTTTTCTTTATTGATATTAGAGAAAGAAAGAGGGAGAGAGAGGGAGAGATAGAAACATCGATTGGCCACCTCCTGCATGCCCCCATTAGGGATTTGGCACACAACCTGGCATGTGCCCTGACCAGGAATCAAACTGGTGACCTCTTGGTACATGGGTCAACACTCAGCCACTGAGTCACACCAGGCGGGCATGAGGCAACATTTTTATATTGTCCTAAATAAATAAATGACTGATCTTATAAGATGCACTTTAATGTATTTTTCCTTTAAAGGGCTTGGGAATCACTGATTTGCTGGGAACTAATAAAAGTAAACCTATGTTATCAGTATATCACCAGGGTTTATCTATATACAAACATACCTCATTTTATTGAGCTTCACTGGTGATGCCTTTTTTATAAACTGAAGGCAAGACCCTCCACCAGCAAAATGATTACAACTCCCTTTATTACTATACTTACTCTATTATGCTTGTCTGGAACTAAACCCACAATATCTCTGAGGTATACCTATGTCCTAAAGTAAAAACAACTACCTTTCATGATTACCAGGAGGATATAAAATACTGTATGTAAAATGTAGAGTATAGTCCCACACAGAAAATATTAAGTGTTACGTATACTTTTTATTGTTTTGAAAAGCTCCCATAGGCCCTGGCCGGTTTGGCTCAGCCATTAGAGCGTCGGCCCGCGGACCAGAGAGACCTGGGTTCAGTTTCCGGGTGCACATACCTCCGTTGCAGTTTGTCCCTGGCTCCAGTTGGGGTCGTGTGGATGGCAGCCAGTCTCTCTCACATCGATGTTTCTCTCTCTTCCTCCCGCTCTATCTGAAGATAAATGCAAAAAAAGTGTCCTCGAGTGAAGATAAAAAAAAAAAAAAAGAAAGAAAAGCTCCCACAGTTAGGACCCAAATGAGAAGCATGCTGCTTTGTAAGCCCATCCCAGGGAAAACAATCTGTTTCAAACCTAAATGCCAGAATTATAGAATTTGTAAGGAACATCCTTACAAATAAATACACACACACACACACACAAAGAGGAAACTATACTGTACCTAGCAGAAAAAGAAGTGACAGAAACATCTGAAATTGCTTTCAGCATAGAAATGACTTCGTCCAGGTCTTCTTGGGTGTGGTCAATATTAAATTCTACTCTGTGCGTTCCCTCTGTTGGGTAGTTGGGTGCTTTGGAAAAATGTATGGGCCTGGAGGTGCAAACTCCTATAAAAAAAATTGTAGAGAAATGGAGTTTTTATGTTGCTTTTTTAATTAAAAAGATAAACTATTATGGGAGAAACATAAAAAAATTATGTTGTTTTGTTCTCTCAGTTTTTTTCTTTATTGATTTTTAGAGAGAGAGGAATGGAGACAGAGAGAGAGATAGAAACATTGATGAGAGAGAACATCGACTGGCCACCTCCTGCATGCCCCCCACTGGGGATCGGGACCACAACCTGGGCGTGTGCCCTGATCAAGAATTGAACTGGCAACCTCTTGGTGCATGAGTCGATGCTCAACCACTGAACCACACCAACCGGGCTATTTTTTTTTAAATTTATTCTTGCCCTGGCCAGGTGCTCAGTGGCATCATCCCAATATGCCAAAGCTGTGGGTTTGATCCCCAGTCTGAGCACATACAGGAATCAACCAAGAAATATATGGATGGGTGGTACAACAGATCAATGTCTCTTTCTCACTCTCTTCTTCTCTCTCTCTCTGAAATCAATAATTTTTTTAAAAAGTTTTAACTCAAGTGCTTATATACTATACACACATATATGTATCCCTTACACACACAACCAACAGTGCCCCCAAATGAGGGACTTAATACAGACATACAAAATCAAATTTATTTTCCAGAAGACTGTTAAATATCATTAAAATGTGGACAAAAAAGACTGATGCATGAATTTTTAGATGATATAAAATTGTGACTGCTTATTAAATCTACTCATGTAAACCATGATTCAGGGCACAAATGCTCATTATCTACTTGACCACATCAATCCAGATTATACCTTATAAAAGCTTCAGCCCAAAATGAGTAAACTAAAACGACACTAAAAATACAGCTAAAACACATACTCTGCTGCCTATTTGAGTGACATAATAAGTATATTCTGGAAGAGGCCTGAGCTTTCCATTCCATTGAACAAGCATTTGGGGGGCCTGGGTGGTAGGTACTATGCTACGTGAGTAAGGGATCACAAAGCTCAGTCTAGCAATTCATTATTCATTAACAATAAAAGTTGTATTTTTCAAGCAATTTAATTGCCAGATTTCAGCAACATTATTTAAAAATATATTATGTAAACATAGAATGGTCCAACCCCTAAACCAGTTACAACTCTATTGAAAAGACATTCTAAAATTTCAAAGCATTTATAGGGAAAATATGAAACAAGAGAAAACAAGAGGATTCTCACCAAGCCCTTTAGCCAACCAGTTGTTGACTCCCTGGGGTGCAGCATCATAGGCTGTGTGGGGAGAGTAAATAGCAATTCTGTTCTCCAGAGCCCGGATCACCAGACGCTCCTTCCAGGTTTTCCAGGTTATGCGTTTCATGGGTCGGAAAATAGGTGGATGGTAGGAGAGAATGAAATCAGCCTTCTTTTGCAGTGCCTCCTCCATCACTTCCTCAGTCAAATCATTGGTCAGGAAGAGTGTGTTTACAGTGTGTGGTGGGCTTGGTTCTACCAGTAATCCAACATTGTCCCAACTCTCAGCAAAAGAGAGGGATGCAAAGTCATTTAAGGAGGAGATGAGAGCCTTCAAATCCATGAAGGAACAGGAAGGATTGTGGATCAGAGAATGAACAAGCCGGACTGTTGTGGGGACCAGGCGTACCAGACGTATGTGAGATGACAACATACAGAAATCAGGTAAAACTGAGTATCTGAAGTCAAACACAGAAAATGGTACACATGTACATTTTAGCCTTGGGCCTTTGCAAAACATGAGCAAAAGAGCTGCAGTCATACATACCTGGGTTCAGATATTGCCTCTGTCACTCACCAGCACATGTTATCTTAGATAAGTCATTTAACCTTTCTGAGTTTGTTTCCTCATCTATAAAACGGAAACACTACAACCTACCTCAGAGGCCATCTGGAGGAGCAAATGTATTAATATGTGTAAGTCACCCGGCACAAGCCTGGTCCATAATGCAAAGATGTTCACCCTCTCCTCCCCAGACCCTACCACACCTTTGTTCTTTTCTCCCCATTCCTGCTTCAGCCACCCTCCAGCTTTCTCCATTTCTCTAAAATTACCCTTCCTTCCATGTCCCCTTCAATTTCCTAAAATAAATCTTTTCTTGACAAACCTTCCTTTTCAGTGTCTCCCTCCTCCCTGTCCTGCCCCATTCTGCCCTAGTATTCTCATGAGATTCCAGTTTGTCTGTCTCCCCAGTATGCTAATGCTACTAGAAAACAGGAACTATCTTTTACATAACTTAGTATCACCAACATAGGCCAGCACTAAATGCTTACTGCACAGACTGACAGTCCCCCACCCCCATCACAGCAGAATTTGGAGTTAGGGTGGTATATACTGGCATTAAAAAGTACTTTATTTAAAAAATAACAACACATATAAAAAGTTAAGTGCTTTATAAGATACACAGATGCGTCACTCCAACTGGGGAGGGTCAAGACAGGAAAAGGCAGAGCTGCTGCCCCTGAATCAACACCTGCTACAGGAAGGGTAGGCTCAAGAGGTGGGAGAATGCCCAGAGTCTGCAACCATTCTAGAGCAGTGATTTCCAACTGTTCCCATCTCATGGCACACATAAACTAATTATTAAAATTCTGCAGCACACCAAAAAATATATTTTTTGCCGATCTGACAAAAAAATATAGGTACTATATAATTTTGATTCATTCACACTGGACAGCTATTGTTGTGTTGGCTGTTGTCTTTTTTTTTTTTTGACAATCTAAGGGAAAAGAGGTTGGTGTCCCTAACTAAATAGTCAGGTTTTGCATGTTTTAAAAATATATCTAGCTCACCCATTGAAATTCGCTGTTCTAGACAGCAATAACCAATACAAAAAAATAACACTGTCAACTCCATTTTTAAAGTTTTGAAGAAAAGCATTCCATAGTATGCACAATAATGAACAAGAATGCATAGCCAATTGTAAATTCAATTAAAATATCATAACCCAATGCTTTCAAAAGCGATTTTAAAGATATTTTTACAGTAAATATATTTAATATGAGATGTATTTATTCAATATATGATTTGGAGTGATGTGGAGCCTCTGTTAACCACTCGAGCCTAGGATCCTGGAAGCTCTTCTAATGTCCTTATACCACTTCCACTCTCCAGATTCCACGTCCTAATAGTAGTCCACTCTCCAGGCTCTTCTAAATCTGGCCTGCGCAAAAATGAACCTCCAGTGGGCCAGTCATACTTGAGATACCTACTGTTACATTAGAAAGAGCCTTTTGAAATAACAGAACACCCCTAATTCACAGATTAGGAAACGGCAAAGTTGCGTAGCTTGATACAATTAACAACAATGGGAGGCAGCATAAAACCATAACGACCCCACCACAGACCACCACCACCACCACCACCGAGCCACAGCTCTGTAACAAATTACTTAACCTCAGCGGTTTCCACCTCTGAAGAATGGAAGTGCCCAGCTCAGTTTGTCGCAAGGGTTAAACGTAAAGCTGGCACAATACCTGACCAAAGTCAGCACCGTGTCTGTTATTAAGTAACATTAATAGGTCCCACTTTACGACCTGCAAACTGCACCCTCTTACATTACCTCAACCTACATCCGGGCCTTTTCCAGGCTAATGAAGAGCCCAGGTGGCACGGCCCCACTAGAGTCCTATGCTCTCACGCGGCTTGCCAGTTTTCTGCCCTTATCTTCCCTTCCGCCTTTTTTTGCTGCCACGGCCTGCACAAATCCCGGTCTGCTTTAAAGCCCTCTGCTTTGTCCGCCGAGATTTAAATCGGCCAAGGCTCCCAAGTCCTGGGAACACTCCTCTAGCGTCACTTCCGGCCCCTCGCGGGACCTCGCGACACTATGGAAACACCGCAGGGAAAGGAGCCGGGCGGAAGTGGTACCTCTCAATTTACCTCTGAGTCAAGGCACTTGTAGAGGCTCTCCAGAATAGTTCCGGGTTAGGATTTCTGTCCTAGTGTAATTATTAAAACAGTTGCTTTTCACTGTCAAAAGTGTTCCAGTTGGGGATAAATTACGTTGTCTGTCTAGTTCTAGTCGTTTTGGTTTGAGACAGGGACGGGGTCTGGAGGAGGCGAGCCTGCGAGGGGCGCTCTCTGCAATGGGTCTCGTGCTCGGCCTCCGCTGGCCTGAAGAAACTAATTTCGAATCTACAGACATTTAGGAGGCATCTGCAATTGCATCTTTTCTGTTGTGACAACAGCTGTGCTGACTGAAGTGGTTAAGTAAGTATGGGGTAACGCGTTCGTTCTCCCATTGACTTACTCAAGTACTTGCAGAGCGCTGTGTTTTAGTTCGAGTGAGCGTTCTGGGTGGAGAGGGTGTTGTTGAAATAACAGATTTCATAAACTAATAAAGTATGTGCTATATTAGTGACAAGTGCTGTGGGGAAAAGAAAATAGAGAATGTGCTAGAATGAGACCCGACTTTGGAGCAGAGACTGGGAGGGGAGGAAACCCGCCGTGCAGACGTCGGCGTGGAAGCGTTCCACGCGCAGGGCACAGCCGGCGCCTGGTCCCCAGGCGGGAATGCGCCCGGCTTGCTGGAGGGCTTGCAAGGAGGCTCTTGGAGAAGAGTGAGCAGGGGAAGAAGGCGGTTGGAGGGCTTCAGTCGGATAGGATCTCATCACTTCAATAACCGGGTTTTTATTATCCGGGGGGTGGGGGGGTGCTCTTCGAGACCTTTTCTTTTAAATATGCAGTAAACATAAGCAGGTGTTGGGTAAGAGAAAAATGAACTTAATTATTTTTTCTTTTGGAAATAGAGATTCGTTTTCGAACTTCTCTCGATAAGACTGTGAGAAATTAGTAACAGTAACCATCAAGAAGAAAAATGGTAAGTTTTATGGAATTCTTATGAATGTCTTTCATTGTAAGTAATTTTTAGAAATTCAATCAAGGGAAATGAAACTGCATGGAAATATCAATGGCAAGACAGCAATGATAAGCTGTAGACGCATACAGTGAGAAATGCTTCTAAACAAAACCAGAAATAAGCTAAATTACTTTTCACTTAAAACACAGAATTTACTTTTTATAGAAAAAAATGATTACACGATAGATAGAGATGAAAAGGGGGAGTAGGAACAGAAGGGTATAGCCCAGGTGTTATAAATTTGATTGGAACCTTTTGCTCAGTATATAAGGTGGGCAACTAAAGCTTGAAGTAGAATAGCAATGAGAATAATGCCCCCAGTCCCCCTTCCCCAACACACACACACTCCTGCTTTCTATCTTCAACCTGGGCATACTCTCTGACTGCTAGATACTATTGTAATAAGAAGAGAAATGAAAAAGGAAGCCCCAAAATAATAATTTTCCTTCTTTCTGGAATGGGGTAACAAAAGGGGTATTCAAGCTACGAAAACAACAGATAAAACAAAATGCAAGAATAAAGAGTACTATGATTTCCCCGGCCTCCTGCCCCATTCCCCTTGGCCTCTTGCCCCATTCCCCCCAGCCTCTTCACAGCCTTCTGCTCCATTTTTTCCCTTCGCCTCTCCCCAGCCTGCACTTCGGCCTGCCCTTGGTCTCTCCCCGCCCACTCCCCCCCCAATCTCCGCTCCGCCTCCCCCAGCCTTTCCCTGGCCTCCTGCCCTGGCCCATCCTACTCCTCCTCCCTTCTCCTCCCCCCCACCCCACCCTTTCCCGAGGCCTCCGCCCTGCTCACTCTCCTGTCCCCTGCGTAATTAAAAAAAAAAGAGAGTACTATGAAAAAAAAGTACTATGGTTACCTCTACACATTTAGAATCCAGAAACACTGATGTTTTTATGTCCTGTCTTTAGTGGAGAACAGAATTGTTTTTTAACCCTGACCCTCATAATTAAATTACATAAGGGAAATGGTGGAAACTATGTTTCAAAAGTCATTCTCTTACTATTTTTCAATAAATATTAATGATGGTTAAAGCCATTTAAATCAATAATTCTAACAATTGTTTTTATTTTTATTGATGAAAAATTCAAACTTAAAACAATTATTTCCATCACAATATTTGCTCCCCAAATTTTAGCATAGGTACCATTTTACCCTAACTTTTTTATATTTATCTTTTGGAATTTTTGTTTTTTTTTTTTTCTATTGCTGAAGTAAATTCTGAAGGAATACAACCTATCTCTCAGAGCTGCTATGTGGACAAGTCAAGTCAAACAGCATTTGTATCTGTTTTTATTTAGATTGTCATCTTTAATATCTAGTTAGGGAAATCATACAGTGCATAAAGTTACCTGAAGAAATCTCATTTGTTCTCACATTCTCTCTCCTTTTTAGTCGGTGACATTGCATACAGATGTAGGTGATATTAAAATTGAAATCTTCTGTGAGAGGACACCCAAAACATGTGAAGTGAGTACTATTATGCACAAATAAAAAAATGAGTTAATGCAACAGGATAACCATTTTTAAATGAACTGATCTAAAAAGTCAACACCATGAGCCCTGGCCGGTTTGGCTCAGCGGTTAGAGCGTCACCCTGCAGTTCAGAGAGACATGGGTTCAGTGTCCGCGAAGGGCATGTACCTCGGTTGCAGTTTGTCCCCGGCCCTGATTTGGTCGTGCAGGTGGCAGCCATCCGATGTGTCCCTTTCACGTCGATGTTTCTCTCCCTCTCTCTCTTCCTCCCACTCTATCTGAACAAAAAATGAAAAAATGTCCTTGGGTGAGGATAAAATAAATAAATAAATAAATAAATAAATAAATAAATAAAAAGTCAACACCATGAAAAAAACAAAACACTTTTTTTTAAATCCTCACCTGAGGACATTTTTGCATTTATCATCAGATAGAGCAGGAGGGAGAAGGGGAGGAAGAAAGAAAGAGAAACATTGATGTGAGAGAGACACATCAAATGGTTGCCACCCACATGACCCCAACCGGGGCTGGGGACAAACTGCAATTGAGGTACGTGCCCTTAGTGGGAACCGAACCTGGGACTCTCTGGTCTGCAGGCTGACACTCTAACCGCTGAGCCAAACTGGTCAGCAAAACAAAACACTTTTGTATAAAATTGTTGTCAGGAAAAACCAGCCATCATCATTTCTGGCCTAATTTCCACGTACCTTTCCTGATGTCAAAGGGTAGATAAAGAGGCTGGTATCTTTTTCTTTTGGCTAACTTAGGAAACATTAAGTAATCACTAGATATCAGGTAAGAGACTATTCCTTACATTATTCATTTGTTTAAATGACAAGGATACAAGGAAGAAGAGTCAGCTGTACATATTTGTATTCATTCAACAGTTATTTATGAAAGGCTGTCTTAACAGTGTCTGGAAATACAGTGGTGAACATGAGACATCCCTTGTCCTTGAGACTTAATATTCTAGGTGGAAATATAGACAGGAGAATTCTCGAAAAAATAAGTAATTTTAGAGGGTGATAATGCCTTGAAGGAAATAAAATGTTGAGATATATTAATAGGGAAGGAATTATTTAAAAGAAGTTAAGGGTGGGCCTAGTCAAAAAAGTGATACTTAAACTGAGTATGAAAGGAAATGAAGGCATCTCCATGAAAAGATACATTCCAAGTGTAGAGATAGTACATACAAAGGCCTCAAGGTAGGAAAGCCTACCTCTTTGGGATAAATTTTCAGAAGGCCGATGGGGTTAACATAGTAAGCAACAGGGAAGGGGTCATTATCATGAGATGTAGAGGTAGGCCAGGTCATGCAGGGCTTATTAGCCCCTACTTAGAAGTTTGTATTTTATTCTAAAAACTGAAGAAGCCATTAAAGTGCTTTAAGCAGGGAAGCGACATCATCCAAAGTAATACCCAAAAGATGTAGTTTAAATATGCTGTTATAGTGTTTTCAGTAAATACAATTAGTTCTTTATCTTAAATGTGTTTCTGCTACATGCTTTCTTAATTATGATTTTTATTCTCTTCAGAATTTCCTGGCTCTTTGTGCCAGTAATTACTACAATGGCTGTATATTTCATAGAAATATCAAGGGTTTCATGGTTCAAACAGGAGACCCCTCAGGTATGTTACTCCATTAATATCTAGAGAATTGGGTATATGGCGTGAAGAAGGCAGGGAGTAGACAGAGAATAGAAAAATAAAAGCATGTAGAGTTTTTATAATTGGGCTACCTTACAATAGCAAGCAATTTTTAAGCTGAAGCTACTAGCACTTAGCTCTAAAATATGAAAAATAGCCCTGGCGGTTTGGCTCAGCAGTTAGAGTTTCAGCCTGCTGACCTAAGAGTCGTGGGTTCGATTCCAGTCAAGGGCACATACCTCAGTTGCGGTTCGATTCCCAGCCCTGGTTGGGGTCTTGTGGGAATCAACCAGTCAATGTATCTCTCACATAGATGTTTCTCTCTCTCTCCCTCCCTCCCTCCCTACCTCCTACTCTATCTGAAAAAAATCAATGGAAAAATATCCACAGATGAGGATTTAAAAAAATAATATTTCCCTAGATGGTATTGCTCAGTGGTTAGAGTGTTGGCCCATGAATCAAAGGGTCACAGGCACATACCTGGGTTGCAGGCTTGATCCCAGGCCCTGCTCGGGGCCCATGCAGGAGGCAGCCAATCAATGTGTTTTCTCACATCAATGTCTCTTCTCCCTCTCTTTCTCTTTCTCTCTCACTTTCCCCCTTTTCCTCCCACCTCCTTCCACTCTTTCTAAAAATCAATGGAAAAAAATATCTCCAGGTGAGGATTAGCTAAAAGTGAAATAAAATATGAATAATATTGATAAGGAGGGGTTTTGTTTTTTATAGAGATATTTGATTTTTCTGGTTTATAAAGTAGAATTTTGGGAAATAAGAGAGGACATACCAAATTTTATTTGTACTTAAAGAGTTATACTTTCTGGCCAGTTTGGCTCAGTGGTTAAAGTGTTGGCCTGCGGACCAAAGGGTTGAGGGTTCGATTCCAGTCAAGGGCATGTACCTGAGTTGCAGGTTCGATCCCCAGACCCTGTTGGGATCATGCAGGAGGCAACACTCACATCAGTGTTTCTGTTTCTCTCCCTCCCTTTCACTCTACCTAAAAATCAATGGAAAAATATCCTTGGGTGAGGATTAAAAAAAAAAAAAGAGTTTGCCCTGGCCGGTTTTGCTCAGCGGTTAGAGCGTCGACCTGCGGTCCTGAGAGACTCGGGTTCGGTTCCCGCTAAGGGCGCGTACCTCGGTTGCAGTTTGTCCCCGGCCCTGGTCGGTCGTGCGGGTGGCAGCCACTCGATGTGTCCCTTTCACATCGATGTTTCTCTCTCTCTCTCTGTTCCTCTCTCTCCCTCCCACTCTACCTGAACAAAAAATGGAAAAATGTCCTCCGGGGAGGATTAAAAAAAAAAAAAAAGAGTTATATTTTAAGGTAGCCCTTAAGTTTTAGAAAATAAACTCTCTAACTAGATACTTCTTTTATTTGTCCTGTAATATAGGTACTGGAAGAGGAGGTAACAGTATCTGGGGCAGGAAATTTGAGGATGAATACAGTGAATATCTGAAGGTACGGCCCAATGCATCAACCTTTTCTCATACCATGTATGTACTTGGAAGCTTTGATAACATATGTTGTATAACATAAGTTAACATCATTAGTAAACATATAAACATACTTTTTTATAGTTTCTGCACACTTGATCAGTGATATCAGGGATAAAATATAAATGGCTGTTCTAGCCTGAAATATATACTGGAATCTGACTATCACATGAATCTTGATATTAAGTGAGCTCATCTTTGGGTCCAGCCTGAAATGTTTAATTACTAATATACCAAAGGCGCTTAATGTCTCACTATAAAATTCATGTTGAATGACATGAATCATTGGCCTTTTTTGAGAATGGGAGGAAAGACTGTCAGACCTCTTGGTTGCAGAATTGCTATTATTAGTCTACAACTTTTATTACCATCTGTTAGATGTTTAAATATTACTGCATTAATGTTACTTAATGCCTGTGTTAGATCTCAGCGAGGTTAAAGAGAAGTGCATATAAATATATCTTTAGCATGTTACCCAGCTGGTGTGACTCAGTGGTTGAGCATCAACCCATGAACCAAGAGGTCACCAATTCGATTCCCAGTCAGGGCACATGCCCATGTTGTGGGCCTGATCCCCAGTGGGGGGCATGCACGAAGGGGCCAATCAGTGTTCTCTCTCATTAATGTTTCTCTCACTCTCTCTCTCTCTCTCTCTCCCCCTCTCTCGCTGATATAAATAAAGAAAAAAAATTTTAAATAAAAATTCGGAGGTTAAAGAGTACCTGTCTTGCCCAGCTGGTGTGGCTTAGTGGATTGAGCATTGTCCCATGGACTGAGGTCCTTGTTCAATTCAAGTCAGGGCACAGGCCCAGGTTGCAGGCTCTATACCCAGTAGGGGGATGTGCAGGAGGCAGCCAATTGATGTTTCTCTCTCACAGAGATGTTTTGTTTTGTTTTTTTTATCCTCACCTGAGGACATTTTTCCATTTTTTGTTCAGATAGAGTGGGAGGGAGAGAGAGGAAGAGAGAGAGAGAGAAACATCAATGTGAGAGAGACACATCAAGTGGTTGCCACCCACACGACTCCAACCAGGGCCAGGGACAAACTGCAACCGAGGTACATGCCCTTAGCGGGAACCGAACCCGGGTCTCTCAGGACCGCAGGCCAACGCTCTAACCGCTGAGCCAAAAACTGGCCAGGGCAACATCGATGTTTCTATCTCTCCCTTCCTCTCTCTCTAAAAAAATAAATAAAAACATTTTTAAAAAACACAGTTGAATTAATACTTTGGTCTGTATTTTTCAGCACAATGTTAGAGGCGTTGTATCTATGGCTAACAATGGCCCAAACACCAATGGATCTCAGTTTTTCATCACCTATGGCAAGCAGCCACATTTGGACATGAAATACACAGTATTTGGAAAGTGAGTATTCTGGTTATGATTTTCTTCTTTGGAATTTTATTGCAAGGGATGCATATGAGTAGCTGTGATAGTAGCATAACTAATATTGAAAGTACAGTATGAGAGCTAAATATACCTGGAATTTAAGTCTACCACTTACTAGCCTTCTGATCTTGGGAAGTTATAACCTCTCTGAGCCTTAATTTCCTGATTTTGTAGGAGAGGCTAATACTTTATTTTCTGGCTCATTATGAAAATTAACAGCAATGTGTCTGTTTTCATTGAAAATAGTATTTTACAGTAAATAACATCTGAAAAACAGTGGCTTAAACAAGATGGACTGGGATGTGGTTCCATCATGTCACGAATGTTCCCAGTGCCTCTGTCTTTCCTTTCAACCATCTTTAGCTTCCATCCTCAAGCTCACCACCACACGGTCATAATATGTGCAACATGGCTCCAGAACATCTGTGTTCCAGGCAGAACTAAGGAGGAAGGGCAAAATGCGCCTACTCAGCTGAGTCTGCCCCTTTTTAAAGAGTTTTCCTAGAAGTTCCAGAACTTAGCACTCTGGCCATCTCTTACCTACAAGGGAGGGTAGGAAATGTTTTTCAGTCACTCTCAGTAAAATGAGGTTTCTGTGAGTAAGAAGCGGAAACTGGACGCTAGGGAGGTATTTATCAGTCTCTGCCAGAATGTCCATTATAAACAGTATACCTAGGAATTGCTTTTATACATCAGCAGGAAGTCAATTTGTCTGTTTATTTAACAAACATTTACTATGCTCAGTAAACTAAGGCACAGTTCTAGATTTTGTTTTATTTAATAATTTGAATGCCAAGTTAGGCTAATTAAAAATAGAAGACTGGCCCCAGCTGGTTTGGCTCAGCGGTTAGAACGTCAGCCCATTGACCAAAGAGTCCCAGGATCCATTTTGGCCAAGGGGCACATACCTAGGTTGCAGTTGTTCCTTGGCCCTGGTTGGGGTCGTGCAGGTGGCAGCCAATCGATGTGTCTCTCTCACATCAATGTTTCTCTCTCTCTCTCTCCTCCCCTCCCACTGTCTGAAGATAAATGTAAAAATATCTCGGGTGGGGATAAAAAGAAATAGAAGACTGGACAACTTTCCTTTTTCATTCCACATACATGTCTAATTAAGGTTATTAATAATTGGTGAAATGTAACCTCTAGTATTCTTTGTATGTAGGTAATCAAGGTACCCTTTTTGTTGTTGTTGTTAATCCTCACCCGAGTATGCTTTTCCATTGATATTTATTTACTTATTTATTTATTTACTTTAAACTTATCTTTATTGTTGAATGTATTACAGATGTTCCTCATTTTTCCCCCATTGACTCCCTCCTCCCCGCCCCCCTCCTGCCTTTCCCCACACTGTTGTCTATGTCCACTGGTTATGCATATATGCATATGAGTTCTTTGGTTTATTTCTTCCCACCACCCAACCCCCCTTCCCTTTGAGGTTTGTCAGTCTAGCAACAAATTTGTACTTCTTAAACCCTTCACCTTTTTCACACATTCTCCCAACCCCCCTCCCATCTGGCAACCAATAATATGTTCTCTGTATCTATAAGAATGTTTCTGTTCTGCTTGTTCATTTTGTTTTTAGATGCAATTGTCAATAGATATGTATTCATTGCCATTTTGTTTGTTCATATTTTTTATCTTTATCTTTATCTTTATTTTTTATCTTTTTTATCACCCTCAACATTTCATATAATAATGGTTTGGTGGTGATGAACTGCTTTAGCTTTTCCTTGTCTGGGAAACTCTTTATATGGCCGTCAATTCTAAATGACAGCTTTGCAGGATAGAGTAATCTTTTTCTTTTATTTACTTCTTTTATTTTTATCCTCACCCGAGGACATTTTTCCATTTTTTGTTTAGATAGAGTGGGAGAGGGAGGGAGAGAGAGAAACATCAACGTGAAAGGGCCACATCGAGTGGTTGCCACCCGCATGACCCAACCAGGGCCAGGGACAAACTGCAACCGAGGTACATGCCTTTAGCGGTAACCAAACCTGGGTCTCTCTGGACTGCAGGCCAACACTCTAACCGCTGAGCCAAACTGACCAGGGCGAGTAATCTTGGTTGTAGATTCTTGCTTTTCATCACTCTGAATATTTCTTGCCACTCCCTTCTGGCCTGCAAAGTTTCTTTTGAGAAATCAGCTGACAGTCTTATGGGGGCTCCCTTGTAGGTAGGTAACTGTCAGAAATCAGCTGACAGTCTTATGGGGGCTGCTTTTAAGACTCTTTCTTTGTCTGGAACCTTTTGCATTTTGATGATGTCTTGATGTGGGCCTCTTGGGTTAATTTTGTTTGGGACTCTCTGTGCTTCCTGGACTTGTATGTCTGTTTCCTTCACCAAGTTAGGGAGGTTTTCTGCCATTATTGTTTCAAATAGGTTTTCGATTTCTTGTTCTCTCTCTTCTCCTTCTGGCACCCCCAAGATGCGAATGTTGGCTCGCTTGAAGTTGTCCCATTGGCTCCTTACACTCATTGTTTTGGATTCTTTTTTCTTTTTGCTGTTCTGATTGGGTGTTTTTTGCTTCCTTATATTCCAAATGGATAATTTGCTTCTTGGCTTTACCTATTCTACTATTGAATCTGTGTAAATTATTCTTTATTTCAGTTAGTGCCTCCTTCATTTCTGCTCTGCATCCTTCATTTCTGACTGGTCCTTTTTTATGCTCTTGAGGCCCTCACTAAGTTCTCTGAGGTTCTCACTAAGTTCGTTAAGCATCCTTATAAGCAGTGTTTTGAACTCAGCATCTGTTAGGTTTCTCATCTCCATTTCGCTTAGTTTTTTTCCTGGAGTTTTGTTCTGTTCTTTCATTTGGGACCTGTTTCTTTGTCTCCTCATTTTGGCTGCCTTCCTGTGTTTGTTTACTTAACAAGAGGTATGGGGCTAGCTGAGACCAGGTACTGCTTGTTTGAAAGAATTTAGGAAAACCTGAAATAGGATCCGAGACAGGCCAATCCTATGGTGAAGCAACTGGCAACAGCTTGGGTGGGCCTGAAAGTTGGGTGGGGCGGGGCCTCAGGGAATCACCAGGGTGGGGCTACCAGTGTAAGCCAGGTTGCTGGAGTCCCAGATATGGCTGCTGTCTGCTGCCCCCCTGAAGGGCTCACCAAAGGAACAAAGGCCTCTGACAGCACGTCTGCCCTGGAGAAAGCCCCCTCTCCTGCCCTCGTTCCAATGCCAAACGGCTTAGTTCTTCCATGTATGTCTCTGGCGCCCCTCAAGCTGCTTCCCCTGAGCTTAGAGGGAGCAAGTCTGAGTACGTTCATGTGCTGGCCCTTTAAGAGGAGCTGCCTGGTGCTCCTGCCGCCTCAGCCTCTCTCAGCCTCAGTTCCTGCTGGTTTTTCCAGCCAGAAGTTATGGGGACTTCTCTTCCTGGCACTGGAACCCTGAGCAGGGCTCCAGGTGTGGGACGGGGACCCCTCAGTCCTCAGGGAGGACTTTCTCAGCTGAGATCTCCTTCTAATTTTTATCTGCCACATGTGGGTGTGGGACCAGCCTGTCTGCCTCTGCCCCTACCAGTCTTGATGCGGCTTCTTCTTTAATTTCCTAGTTGTAGGACTTCCATTCAACTTGATTTCAGGCGGTTTTGAATGATGGTTGTTCAGTAGTTTAGTTTTAACTTTGATGTGGTTGTGGGAGGAAGTGATACCACATTTACGTACGCCACCCATCTTGACCAGAAGTCCTCCATTGACTTTTAGACAGGGTGGAAGGGAGAGAGAGAGAAACATCTATGTGAAAAAGACACTTGGATTGGTTGCCTCCTACACAACTTCGACTGGGGCCAGGGATTGAACCTGTAACCCAGGTACGTGCCCTTGACCAGAATCGAACCCATGGCCCCTTGGTCCACAGGCTGACACTCTAACCACTGAACCAAACCAGCCAGGGCTGGGTACCTTTCCTTTTTTTAAAAAAAAAATTTTATTTATTTATTTATTTTTTATCCTCATCTGAGGACATTTTTGCATTTATTTTCAGATAGAGCGGGAGGGAGAGAGGAAGGAAGAGAGAGAGAGAAACATCGATATGAGAGAGACACATGGAGTGGCCGCCACCCACACAATGGGTACCCTTCCTTTTATTTTCTCCCTTAACCCACCATTCAGAATTGTTGATCAGTGATTACCAGGACTTATATTACTGAATTTGTGACAAAACTTTACAGTTTAGAACAAAGATTTTCAACCTTAAGTCCATTCACTTCTGGAAATTGTGTTTCATGTATATGTACACATTTTTCTGGGAGGATGGTATATATAGCTTTCCATTAGTTCTTAAAGGGGCTGTGTCCCAGATTCTTGACTGGACTTAGCTCATTATGCATGTTCTTTTGTGCCTGAGATCTGTTTTCTATATACTCTGTTTCTCTTACTGAACTAGAAGGTGGGAAAGCCTTTAAACTTATAATTTAGAGAGCTTAATTGTCATACATTTGTGAGTAAAATCAGAAGGTTTTGGTTATCGTCCAGCCGGTGTGGCTCATTGGTTGAGCATCAACCCATGCACCACGAGGTCGCCTGTTTGATTCCCGGCCAGGACACATGCCCGGATCATGGGCCAGATCCCTAGTGAGGGGGGCATGCGGGAGGCGGCCAATCGATGTTCTCTCTCATCGCTTCCTCTCCATTTCACTTCCATTTCTCTCTCCATTTCACTTCCTCTCTCTCTAAAATCAATAGAAGGGAGAAAAAAAAATATTTAAAAAAAAAGGTTTTGCTTATAATACTATTTTAGTGGCATTGCAAAATATAAATATATACTATACATACATTTTGAGAATTGATTTGAATTGCAATAAGAGGTATAATCTAAAAAGCCACCTTTGCCCAGCTGGTGAGGCCCAGTGGTTGGGCATTGACCCATGCACCAAGAGTTCACCGATTTGAGTCCCAGTCAGAGCACATGCCCAGGTTGTGGGCCCGATCCCCAGTGGGGAGCATGCAGGAGGCAGATAGTCTCTCTTATCGATGTTTCTATCTCTGTCTCCCTCTCCCTTCTGTTCTCTCTAAAAATCAATGAAGAAAAAGAAATTTAAAAAAAATTTAAAAATAAATAAAAAACCACCTTTTCTTAGCAAATGTTTAAAACTTCAGAACATATTTGAAGCATACCTCTCAATATTTCTTTTTCTTTTTTTAAATATTTTTTCTTTATTGATTGTAGAAAGAGGAAAGGAGAGAGAGACAGAAACATCAATGAGAGAGAACATCGATGGGCTGCCTCCTGCATGCCCACCACTGGGGATCGGGCCTACAACCTGGTCATGTGCCCTGACTGGGAATAGAACTGGTGACCTCTTAGTGCCTGGGTCCATGTTCAACCACTGAGCCACACCAGCTGGGCTATATTTCTTTTTCTTTTTCTTTTTTTTGGTACATGCCCTAGTGGGAACTGAACCTGGGACTCTCTGGTCCGCAGGCCAACACTCCAACCACTGAGCCAAACCGGCCAGGGCTATATTTCTTTTTCTTAATGGAAACATGAAGTGAGCTTGCTCTAAGTGGGCTTAACTGTTCATCTTCTCTTTTCCTATATTTTAAATGTTTTTATTGATTTTAGAGGGAGGGGGGAGAGAGAAAGAAACATCAATCAGTTGCCTTCTATATGTACCCTGACCAGAATTGAACTTGCAACCTGGGTATGTTCCTTGACCTGGAATCAAACTCAAGTCCTTTTGGTGTATGCAACTGAGCCACACCAGCCAGGGCTTCTGTTTTCCTATTTTTATTATTATTGCTTTTTGTTGTCCAAAAACAAAAATTAAAAACCCCATGTTTAAACAATCAAGTGGCCACCCACTTATGGATCTTCACTGATGCCTGGCCAGTGTGGCTCAATGGATTGAGCGTCATCCCATGGACTGAGGTCCCGGTTCAATTCCCGGTCAGGGCACAGGCCCGGGTTACGGGTTCAATCTCCAGTGGGGAGCATGCAAGAGGCAACAGATCAATGTTTCTCTCATATCGGTGTTTCTATCTATCTCTCTCTTTTCCTCTCTCTAAAAAAAACAATAAAAGTATACTTTTTAAAAAAGGATCTTCATTTATTGTTAGGCAGTGTTTATAATAATAGTGTCATCCTTACATACTTTCTCTGGATGTTTACTATAGCAAAGAAATCTTCTAACTAGTTATTGACCCTGTTGTAGTTATGCTGAATAATGGGACAGTTTACAGTGTTTAGATACTTTGGTGGAAATATTCCTACCCATTGCTGTTGTCTGAAGACATAAAAATGAATTTGAATTTTTGTTTTCTGAATTTTGGTCCATACCTCTGGTAGAAAATCAAATCAGTATTTTATTATATACTCAACTAGGGAATTCAAAGAACTATGAGACAAGGATACTATAATTGCTATATGTATTTGGATATTGTGTTTCAATCTGAAAAAAATTTTCATTCATTATATTGTTTCTCTTTCAGGGTAATAGATGGTCTGGAGACTCTAGATGAATTGGAGAAGTTACCAGTAAATGAGAAGACATACCGACCTCTTAATGATGTACACATTAAGGATATAACTATCCATGCCAATCCATTTGCTCAGTAGCTATAATAGACATGGACAAATACTTGGCAAACTGTTTGAGGAACACACCTATTGTGGTTTACCCAGTTTTAATTATGTCAGAGATTGCATCATCCTGCTTGTTTACAACTAAGATCTTCCGAATTGTTAGTACCAAGGGGAACCAAATAGCTTTTACTCCCATTCTTAGAGCATATTCTTTACTATTGCTATTACCCAGTGTATTTTTTTTTTAAAATGTTTAATTTTTGTTATATAAAAACATTCATTTTTAAATGCTGAGCCTCAAATCAGTCATTTTTGAGCACCCCAAGTATAAACTCCTGTATCTAGTCTACATCATGGAAGTATTGTTTTCCATTAATTGTTCACTTTGTGCAGTAAGAAAGAGGAAGGACAAGATACAGAGATGGTACAGAAAGGCCAGCCAATACATTTGCTATTTTCTTTGGTCTTTAGATTTATAATAAAGGTTCAAAGATAACCTAGAGTCCAGTAAACAGTCAGAATTTCCCAACTGATTTTCCCATGGAACATTTTTTTAAAGCATATCTTTTAAAATATTGCAGGATAAAGTTCTACAGATGATCCATTTGAAAAAAGCAATTAATTGGTTAAGAACACCAGTTTTAGGGTCCTGTGTTTGAATCACAGCTCTGTCCCTTACTAGTAATTTTTGGCAAATTAACATCTTCCAAGCTTTAATTTTCTCATTCATAAAATAGTATTCCCTCATGACTATTGTGAGGATTAAAAGAAATAATGTGTGTAAAGCTTCTGGCATGTAGTTAAGTGTGCTGTATTAAGTAATGGAAGCTGCTCCCCTAACATATTTATCTCCACGGGAGGGCTCTTACCTTATCAGGCCATTTATCAGATTCTACCATTGATTTTATCAAGAACCATGTTCCACTTGCTGCCTAGGATAACCTTGATTAGATTTGGGTATTTCTAAAACCAAACATTTTTTTTGGTTTGTATCATTTTTACAGATGGCTGATCTAAATGTTTTTTGGTTCTTTCTTAACTACAGTTTGGGAGTTAGCTTATAGCTGTCCTCTTGTTACCATCTATACTTTCCACTAAACGAGTTGCCAATTATATTGTTCTCACATTTTGTTTCAGCCTTTGAATCATTTAGGCTTCCAGAATTAGTATTTAAGGTTCTTTTTGGCCAGTTTGTTTTGCCACTTCTTATACCTGATATCTTTCTTCTCCAAACATGTCATTTAATTTTTTGTCTTCACTTTTAAGAGGCTTTTACTGATTGTCAGAATGATTTTGCACCAACTGGCATTTTCTCCATTTTTATTTGAAACTGCCATTTTTTAAAGTAGTGCCAGTACAATCATTTTTTGGTTCCTAAAGGTCATTCTTATAAAGTCAGCCCAGTTATAGCCATGAGGATCTCATAGATAGGAGGGAGGTATACTAGCTGCTCACCTTGAGGGCAAGATCCAGTACACTGACTCGGTCCACTCACAGAGTTGACTGGTTCATACTGATCACATTAGTGTTGGGGTGATTGGTGTTAATAAACTACTAATAAGATTATAATACTGCTGACCAACCAAAATTCTCTTTTAAAGAGGAATATGGTTCCCCATCTAAATCAGAAGTTGACCAAAAACAGACTAGCCACCTGTTTTTGTAAATAATGTCTTCTTGAAACTCAGTCCCATTTCTTTATGTATTGTCTCTGGATTGTGCTACAACAGCAATATTGATTGCTTGTGAGAGACCAAATGGCTTATAAACCTAAAATATTTACTATCTGGCCCTTTAAGAAAAAGTTTGCCAACCCCTGATCTAAAGGAGATCAGGGTGTGGGCAGGGTTGTTTACTGAGGCCTCTGGCTTGTAGATGATCTCCGTCTTCACGTGATCGTTCCCGTGTGTGCCTGTGTCCTAACCTCTTTATAAAGAAAGACACCAACGCTGGCCGTTTGGCTCAGCGGCTAAGAGCATCAGCCCCTGGACTGAAGGGTCTTGGGTTTGATTCCCAGTTAAGGGCACCTACCTGGGTTGCAGGTTCGATCCCCTTCCTGGGTTGGGGTCCTGCAGGAGGCAACAAATTGATGTTTCTCTCTCTTCCTCCCTCATCTAAAACTCAATGGGAAAATATCCTCAAGTGAGGATTAACAACAAAAGCATAGCGCCAGTCATATTGGATTAGGGCCCACACCGATGACCTCATTGAGCCTCAGTTGGCTCTGTAAAGGCCCTGTTTACAAATACAGTCACATTCTGATAGCAGATATTAATTTAAAATTATTAATTCCGTACATACTCCCCAAACACTCAGCACATACATAATGTCATGTACACTGAAGAACACATTTCCTTGTTGCCAGCGTTCACAAGTACTATTTTTAATGAGCATGGAGGATACTCCCCAGTACTTGCAGCGTTTACCCATTCCCGAACCTGACTCTGGCCAACATGGCCGCCACCCGCAGCTTCCCTCCGTCACCTTCAGAAGCTTCGGCTCTAGACCCGGCGCCTGCGCACTCGGCGGCCACCGCGCCCCGCCTCACCCCTCCCGCGTGCAGGCCCCGCCCTGGGGCGGAGACGCGCTCGCAGCGTCACCAGTGCTTTTAGAGAAGAGTCCTGACGCAGCGACTGTCAGCTCCATTTTGTTGTCGGAGCTGGTCGCAGCTGGGTGGTTCTTCTCCGCTGTCGCGTTACGAACTTTGTCTCCTTGGGCTTGGACGCTCTTGGCCTGGACGGTAAGGCGCAGGAGGGAGCAGGCTAGGTGGCAGGGCCCTTTTTCTGTGCCTCTCGAGCGCCTCTCCAGGCTAGTTGGCCGCCGCCCGCAGTCTCTTGCACAACAACCCTTTTCCCTCGCCCCACTGCAGCTCTGTGGAGCCTGTCGCCGCGAGTTTCTGCTGGAACCTCGACGCCCCTGACTTTGGCGGAGGGTAGTGACATTTGCGAGGCGGGGAGCGCTCCTCGAACGTTGGCCTCCCTCGGGGTTGCGGGGAGGGCCGGCCGGGACGCCGGCGGGCGCCATCTTGTCTGCAGTGGCCACCTCGGCGGAGCTGTAAGATGGCGGCGGGGCGGCGGCGGCGCTTCCTCTTGCGGGTGGTGGGTACTTGTTCGGCTTGTGTGAGGGACTCTCTTCGTAGCAAATGGAGGCAAAGACCGAACGCCTTGGCCTGGTGTAAAGCGGTATTACTTAATGTCTAGTTGATTTCTTTAAAGGATTGGAGTGAAAATCGCCAGTGTTTTTCCTCCTGTTGGTTAGGAACCCGAGGAAAGAGCAGTAAAACAGTATTTGAAGGAGTGTGTGTGTGATCAGGCGTTTTGTGTGTAGAATTTCTGCGCCCCAGTTAGTATTTTGGTTGAGTGCAGAGACGTGGTCGAGTTAGGAATTTTTTGTTAGAAACATTTCTGAAAGGAAGATGGCTTTCCCATCTCCTGAATTGATAAGATTGCTTTTAGGATAAGCTAGGTTTTGTTACATGTAATACGTGCTGGGGGGTGGCGCTCACACGACGGTATTTTGTTTTTCTAAAATGTGTTTTTTTGGGGTTTTTTTTGGTACGTGCCCCCAGCGGGAACCGAACCCGGGACACTGGGCCGCAGGCCGACGCTCCAACCGCTGAGTCAAAGTGGCCAGGGCTGTTTTTACTGTTTTTTTGTTTTGTTTTTTTAAAAGAGGAAGGGGGAGAGGTAGAAACATCTATCAGCTGCCTCCTGCACGCCACCTACTGGGCGTCGAGCCGCGACTGGGCTTGTGCCCTTGCGGGGCGGGAGCTGGGACCGGCGTCTCCCTCCGTGGGCGACGCTCGCTCCCCTCGCTGAGCCGCACTGGCTGGGCGCAAGGTGGTATTTTGTAGCTTCGCTCTCTAATGCCATCGTTGACTTAAGGCCTTATTAGTTTGGTAGGTGTACCCCCTTCACAGAAATTTTCAATAATAATAGTTTTTCAAAGAACATTTATGGTTTCGAGTTGGAGGCTTGTTTTTTATGCACGTTTAAATGGAGAGAATTAACATGTGAACCTACATTAAATTTCTGCTGGCAGGAAAGGGGTATGATTTTGCCAAAGATAATGTCACAACTAGAGTGAATTTCATTGAACTGTTCATTGTTGACATGTGGGTTCTTACAAACTAAGGGAAACTTGTCTTTTATGTAGATGAGACACTCGAAGAGAGCTTACTGTCCTGATTGGGAGGAAAAGGATTGGGATTGTGCAAAATGGAGGAGCAGCAGCAGTCAGAAAAGAAAGAAGAGATCCCATAGCAGCGCCCGGGAGAACAAGCGCTGCAAATATAATCACTCTAAAACATCTGATAGGTGAGAAGGATATTATATACATACAAAAAAATTCATTTTTACTACAACGTTTATCTGTCATCTCTATAAAGCGGGGAGGGGAGAACATATTCATAATTAAAATTAATTCCATAAAGTAAGTATCAGTGATTACTATTCCTTTCTGTTTCCAATGATGGCTTGTAATGTTTGTAAAATTGTGGGTTTTAAAGAGATTTACTGAGAATTTGAGGATATTTGGTATTAGTATAAAGCACTGAAAAAATGGAGTTTTTTGTTTGCTTTTTAGCCATTATTTGGAAAGCAGATCCATAAATGAGAGAGATTATTATAGCCGACGCTACGTTGATGAATATAGAAATGACTACAATCAAGGGTGTGATTCTGGACATCGCCATAGGGACCATGAAAGCAGATATCAAAACCATAGTAGCAAGTCCTCTGGTAGAAGTGGAAGAAGTAGTTATAAAAGCAAACACAGGATTCACCACAGTACTACACATCATCGTTCACATGGGGTATGAGCTCTTTTTAAACATTTTGGAAGTTTTATTTCCCATGTGGAACAGGAAAACTTGAATTTGGGTTTGAGCATTTAAGAAGTTCTGTTTAAGATGAAATTATCTCAATTTTAACTTGCAGGATTCTTTCTGTTTGTGCATTGGATAGGAAGTTCCCCAAGTAACAGCAAATATTTAGCTAGTTACAGAATAGATTTTATTATTATTTGGCATCTAATTGTCATTTCAGTGAAATAGTGGAGGGGATTTAATTAAGGTTTGTTTATAGCAATGCTTGTGAGATAGTCTGACAGATATTTCATGGTACTTCAAGAAATCTAATTTGTTTTAATAAAACCTTACACAAAAATAGACTAGACCTTTTATTTTTGTATGATGAGGATTAGGTATAACTTTGTTCTAGCAAAGCATGCTCTCTAATCCTTTTTTTCACTAAGCAAAACACTTAACAGATTTAAACATTATGGGGTGTGTTTTAATTTGGAGATCAGCTCAGATGACATTTAAAATGTCATTGTATTATTCTTGTATACCAAGTCATTTTTTTCCTCCCCAAAATTAGGGCCATAATTTTATTGTTTTAATATATTGTTTTCTTAGATTAGTTAAGAAATCTTAATTTGGCCACAGTCTACTTTGACAAGTAAATATTACATCCTACAATTTTACAACAGTAAATTGGGACACTAGAAACTTAAAATTATGTTTCAGTGAATGCTACAACTAAGCATTTTTTTAAAAAGAAAACAATTGTGTTATGTTTTGTTGCCTTGCCACTTTGAGTATCTTATCTGAAAATCTGTTCCTTGCCATGTTTTTCTCCTGTTAACATAAACTATGTGCCCTGTGAATTTCTGGGGACTGAATTTGAAATTGCTCCTGCCAACCGTTTGTGGCCTGGCGTGTATCTGAATGCCTGAATATCTCCCCGCTGAATGAATTTCGTATTCTGCCCTGAATTCACTCGGGTATATTGATTGGCTGGATGATCTTGGTGCCGCCCACTTGACGTTTCCAGAAGAGTCACCGAAGGAAAAGATCCAGGAGTGTAGAGGATGATGAGGAGGGTCACCTGATCTGTCAGAGTGGAGACGTACTAAGTGCAAGATGTATAGAATATTTTTCAACACTTATTAACTTTTCAGATAACATTATATATATATAGATTAAGATTTCAGGGATTTGGAAATCTGTTTCTTTCTCTTTCTTTTGTTTTGTTTTCCTTTTTTTTTTTTTTTTCTTTTTTCTTTTTCTTTTTTTTGGTGGTGGGGGGAATTGTATTTTTGCTTTCTTTAGAAATTTAATATTTGTTATGTAGAACTTCCAAAGCAGTAAATCAAGTTAAATGAAATTGGCTTTAAGACTCAAATTAGACCTAAAAATAGTTACATGTTTTTTGACCGTGTTGACCAATAAAATAGTGATAAGGAAATTTGTAGCATCAACTAGAATAATCTGCATTTATTTTAAGAAAATATTTTCACTTCTTGGTGTGACTGATACTTACTTTTTCTTTTAGATGAAATTGTTGACACTTTAGGTGAAGGAGCTTTTGGAAAAGTCGTGGAATGCATCGATCATAAAGCGTAAGTTTCCCAGCCTGGGAATGTACTTGATCAACAGTATAGAAAATACATTTAGCTTTGGAGTGTGGTCTGACCATGAGTTAGAATATGTCTTTACCTAGCTTGGGATTTTGACTTGTATGTAGGAAACTCCCAGTAAAAGACATGAGTTGTTTGTATTTATAAGCAGTGGTAATTAGTAGTATATGTATGCAGCCTCTAACTCAGTTTAAGATGAGAACAGATTTTCAGAAAATAGTATTTTGTTGTCTTGACTACACAATACTGTAGCCATCTCCCCCCTCCCGCCCGCCCCATCGTAGTTCTCAGCCTTGGTTTTTGCATTAGGAGTCTCTGGAGCTATGCTTATCCATATCTTTTCAATCAGTCTTCAGAGTAATTACCTAGGAACCTATATTTTTAGAAAGTGCCATAATTTATCCTGATCACAGTCAGGTTTGAGAACTTTTCTGGATTGGTAGCACAAGTTTAATTATGTATCCCTTTCAAACTACTGATTGGAATTTCTTTTTTTAAATCCTCACCCGAGGACATTTTTTGCCTTTATTTTCAGATAGAGCTGGAGGGAGAGAGAGAGAAACATCCATGTGAGAGAGACACATCGAGTGGTTGCCACCCACACGACCCCAACCAGGGCTGGGGACAAACTGCAATCGAGGTACATGCCTTTAGCAGGACCGAACCCAGGACTCTGGTCTACGGGCCAATGCTCTAACCACTGAACAAAGCTGGCCAGGGCCTGATTGGAATTTCTTATGGTAGCATAAGATATTTTTCCATTGCCTTTTGTTGTTATTGTTCCCTGTTTGAATTTTTTTTCTTTGGAATGGTAAAGCTTTTCTAAATGATTTGTCAGGGGGGTTCCTATTATTGGTTGTTAAGATGCTGTGATAGCTCGAGTTTCTTACAATGCCTTCACAGATTCCAACTTTTTTGGTGACCACCAGATTTCAGATAATATTTGCCACTGACATGCATTATAGGAAGAAACTGCTTTATGTACATCTGTTTTGGATCTTAGTTGGCATGAAAATTGAGGTGGTAATACCTAATATTCTTGTTAAATTACTGTTGATACGGTTTAATTGTAGGACCAAAAAATAATTTGTATTACTGACCCTACTCTGTCCAAAGGTCATTCTAGTTGCTTGCAATGAGTTGCAGTTAGAGGAGAGTACTTACATATAATCAAAGTAGAGGTGTACAGTTTGAAGAGAGTGATAGAAAAATGCAGTTAAATATCTTTATCATTTCTTTTAACTTGGACTTCTCTCTCCCTAACAGGGGAGGTAGACATGTAGCAGTAAAAATAGTTAAAAATGTGGATAGATACTGTGAAGCAGCTCGCTCAGAAATACAAGTTCTGGAACACTTAAATACAACAGACCCCAACAGTACATTGTAAGTATCAAAATAGAACTTAGAAAGTGGCCCCAGGTAGATTTTAAGATTATAAGAAGCTGTACTAAGTTATTTTTTATGTGTTTATAGCCGCTGTGTCCAGATGTTGGAGTGGTTTGAGCATCGGGGTCACATTTGCATTGTATTTGAACTACTAGGACTTAGTACTTACGATTTTATTAAGGAAAATGGATTTCTGCCATTTCGACTGGATCATATCAGGAAGATGGCACATCAGATATGCAAGTCTGTGAACTGTAAGTACTTTGGCACATCTTCTAGAAGCTTGAGTTTATTGAGGCTTATTTAGTGCCAGACTGATTTGGATCTTTCAGTATTGTAATAACTGTGTGGTGTCAGGTGGGTACTATACTTAATAGGGGGATCACTTCACAAATTATACAGATGTCTAACCATTATGATGTACACCTGAAACTGTCAACTATCAATTTTTAAAAATGAGATCTAACATAATAGGACCTAAGAGTTTTTTTTGTTTTTGGTGGTAGGGGTTTTGGGTTTTGATATGGGGATTACAGCAATTTTTTTTATGTTTCCTTCTCAGTTTTGCACAGTAATAAATTGACTCACACAGACTTAAAGCCTGAAAACATCTTATTTGTACAATCTGACTACACAGAGGCATATAATCCCAAAATGGTAAGTCTTCAATGTATTGTCTTCATAGTTGTAAATAAATATTGTGTGCCTTCTTAATATTGTGCCTCCTTAACCATCATTTATGATTTTTAGAAACGTGATGAACGTACCTTAATAAATCCAGATATTAAAGTTGTAGACTTTGGAAGTGCAACATATGATGATGAACATCACAGTACATTGGTATCTACGAGACATTACAGGGCACCTGAAGTTATTTTAGGTAAGTATTTCTTAATTGTGCTTTGGGAGCCTTTATGTTTATTGAAGCAATTTACTTAAGAGTTCTAGGTTTTATTTTTCTGGGACTTTTTTTTTTTTATCTTTTTCACTTTAAGGAATTAGTACTGTAAATCGCATTAAATATTTTAAGCTCTCTATTCCAAATAATCAGCGCTGGGACTTCGAATAAGTGGCTTGATCTTTCTGAAATTCATGTTTGTGATACGAGGTGGAGTTTTGAAAACAATCGTTTAATGCCTGTTATGCCCCAGATACTTGGCATGTTCGGTCTTTGTATTGTATTGATAGTGCCTGTTTTACAGGTTAGGAAAGTGAGGCTCAGAAAAATAATTTTTTTCCAAATCACTAGTCTCAAGAGCCTGAGTTAGGACTTGGAATTAGTACCTCCAGAGCCCTAACTCTTTTTTTTTTTTATCCTCACCCGAGGACATTTTTCCATTCTTTGTTCAGGTAGAGTAGGAGGGAGAGAGAGGAACAGAGAGAGAGAGAGAGAGAAACATCGATGTGAAGGGACACATCGAGTGGCTGCCACCCGCACGACTGACCAGAGCCGGGGACAAACTGCAACCGAGGTACATGCCCTTAGCGGGAACCGAACCCGGGTCTCTCGGGACCACAGGCCGACGCTCTAACCGCTGAGCCAAACCGGCCAGGGCCAGAGCCCTAACTCTTAAAACATACTATGCATTATATTCAATCTTGGATTAAGTGATTTCGTTAGGATTTTTTCCAGCTCAAACATCAAATTGTTCACATTTTTTTAATGTTTTTAAGAAATATTGAGGAAATTTTTCCTAACAGTTTGCTTTGTTTTGCAGCCTTAGGATGGTCCCAACCATGTGATGTCTGGAGTATAGGATGTATTCTTATTGAATACTACCTTGGGTTTACAGTATTTCCAGTAAGTGCTTTCTTTGCACAGTAAAAGTGCCTGTTTATGTGAAGGAACACTTAACTCAAATACACACATGTATTTAGGTAGTTTTTTTTTTTTTTCCTCGTCATAGAATGTTAGATGTAGATAAATATAAAGAAATAAAAATTATGTAATTCTGATGCTATTGGGCATTTCATAATTTATTATTTTATTAAATATTTTTAAGTATATTATTAAAAGTTAGACTTGGTAAATTAAGGAAATCTTTACTAATCTTGTTCAGTTTGCCTTAAATGTTTTTTGTTGTCAGCTGTAATTTGCTAAAAGGCCTTTTTAGTAGTGATCACCTTCCTTGTGTCTAAATATGTAGGGGTTAGAATTGTAGCAGCTTCGTTAATGAGAATAAAGCATAGTGTGCAAGTTCAGGTAAACAAGTATTCTTTATTTTTTTAGACACATGATAGTAAGGAGCACTTAGCAATGATGGAAAGGATTCTTGGACCTTTACCAAAACATATGATACAGAAAACCAGGTATGTTTTAAGAGTAAGTGCCATGCTTAGTACCATGAGGTCAGACTAATGTTTTTTTCACTTAAGTAGCCAATTATCTTGCTGGGAAGCCTGGAATAACTATCTCTGGGCTGCTGTTTAAAATCTCTGGGAAAACATTAGTCTTTGATCTATAAAAGAATAATAATTGATCAAACCAATCACTTTTTTGGTAAATGTTAAAGTTTTCATCGTCAACATAAACATGGATATTGGCTTACTCTTAGGAAACGTAAATATTTCCATCATGATCGGTTGGACTGGGATGAACACAGTTCTGCTGGCAGATATGTTTCAAGGCGCTGTAAACCTCTGAAGGTAAGCCTGGGTCATTGTTTCAGTGATCTTGAGTTTTCCATCTTTATGGTGGAGAAATAAAAGTATAATAAGTAGTAGTAGAACAGGCTGTTTACTGTGTTTCTTTTCTTTTTCAGGAATTTATGCTTTCTCAGGATGCTGAACATGAGCTTCTCTTTGACCTCATTCAGAAAATGTTGGAGTATGATCCGGCTAAAAGGATTACTCTCAAAGAAGCCTTAAAACATCCTTTCTTTTATCCCCTAAAGAAAATTACATAGATCTCTAATTGTACAACATGATAATAAATTTTATAGACTGTATCAGTCTAATTTTTAAATATTAAGTTATTTTGTACATCTTTTTGTAAATTTCTTAAATTTTTGTATTGCCATCTTTATTTTGTTTGGTCCATAGCTATGTAATGAACATCTTTTTCAATGATTTCTGTATAAAATGATTTATTCAGAATAAATTCTTTTGTGTTTATGAAATTTATATTAATCTATACAATTTTAGCACCATTTTTCTATCCCTTGTCACATTAAAGAAGGGACATGTTACCCTGGCCCATTTGGCTCAGCTGTTCCAGCATTGGCCTACAGACCAAAGGGTTTGATTCCTGGCCCTGGTCATGGTCGTGTGGGAGGCAACCAACCCATTGATGTGTGTGTGTGTTTCTCTCCCTTCCTTCTACACTTTATTTAAAAAAAACCAGCCCTGGCCGGTTTGACCCAGCGGTTAGAGTCGGCCTGTGGTCCAGAGAGACCCGGGTTCAGTTCCTGCTAAGGGCACGTACCTTGGTTGCAGTTTGTCCCCGGCCCTGGTTGGTCGTGTGGGTGGTAGCCACTTGATGTGTCCCTTTCACGTCGATGTTTCTATCTCTCTCCCTCTCTCCCTCCCACTCTATCTGAAGAAAAAATGGAAAAATGTCCTCGGGTGAGGATAAAAAAAAAAAAAAATTAAAAACTATCCTTGGGTGCAGATTAACAACAAAAAAGAATGGACGTTTCTTCTACTGGAGGTTTCCTTAAGTCTTTGGAAATACTTCTGTCTTCGTTTATAGTGATTGCCAGCATTGGGACTTAGGCTTTCCTTTTCTAAACCAAATTACTTGGGGTGGTGAATACACAATACAATATACAGATGATGTATTACAAAATTGTACACCTGAAACCTATTTAATTTTCTTAACCACTGTCACCTCAATTAAAAGATAAAGATTAGCCCTGGCAGGTTTGGTTCAGCAGATAGAGCACTGGTCTGCTGTCCGGAGAGACCTGGATTTGGTTCCCACTAGAAGCGCGTGCCTCGGTTGCGGTTTGTTCCCAGCCATGGTTGGTCGTGTGGGGTGGCAGCCACTCAGTGTGTCCCTTTCACGTTGGTGTTTCTCCCTCTCTCCCTCCCACTCTATCTGAACAAAAAATGGAAAAATGTCCTCGGGTGAGGATGGAAAAAAAAAGATGGGAAGAACTAGAGATAAGCCGAGATGATTTTGTTCCTGTATTCCTGTTAAGATTTAGTATTGCTGCTTTCCTGTCTTCCCCCTGAAGAGGATTTTGCAAATGGCTTAAGGTCCTGCGCTCCTTCAGGACATGACAGAAGCGTCCAGGATTTTTTACAGCCAAGTCTGAATTATTAAAAACCGCATTTTTGTCCATGGTTTTAAGACAGTTTTTTGTTGTTTCAAGTTTCAATAAAAGTTGTAAGATTACTTTATTCCTGCATCTTCTCAATTGTTTGTTTCTTGTATTTGCCCTTTTCCTTTCCTACTTGGCGATATTTGGCTTTACATTCAAGGATCTTTTTGCGGTCTTTGTCCAGTTGTAGTCTAGTGAAAACCACCTTGCTGGGGTGAATGCCCACATGAACAGTTGTACCATTAGCTTTCTCCCGTTGCACTCGTTCACTGTCGATGACGTATTCCTTCCTGTAAACCTGGACTACTTTGCCAATTTGCTGCCCTTTGTAATGTCCTTGGAACAACCTGAACTTCATCATCCTTTTGGATGGGCATGGACCAAGCATTGTACTTCTGTCTCAGCTCTTTGGAAAGAGAAAACAATCTTACTACGAATGTGGAAAGGTGCATTGAAATGCCTTTTACGGTTCTTGCTTCAGTCGGAAGTCACAAAGGGATTAAATTTTATTTTGCTGGTGCTTCTACGATGGCCGCAAAAGGGATGAGACCAAGACTGTCTTATAGTAGTCTGGGTTGATAGCAAAATTGAGAAGGTAGGTTGACATAATCATCCAAAGTCCATAGATTACCTTCAGGTTTATTTTTGCTGTTGTGCATTATATTTGTTTGAACTAATGTATGACATCCAACATCATAAGATACAGATGATTTTCACTGTTCTGAAAGTATGCTTTCTCTGTTCCTCCCTCCCTCCCATGTTCAACCTCTGGTAATTACTAATCTTTTGAATTGTCTCTAGTTTTGCCTTTTGCAAAATGTCATGTAGTTGGAATCATACAGTACATACATAGTCTTTTCGGATAGGCTTTCACCTAAAGCAGCAATTTTCAACCAGTGTGAGAATTTTTAAAACGTGCAATATCTGCCCTGGCTGGTTTGGCTCAGCCGTTAAGAGTGTTGGTCCACCGACGAAGGAGTCATGACTTCAGTTTCAGACGAAAGCACCTATCTCAGTTGCAGTTCGTCGCTGGCCCTGGTCGGTGTCCTGCGGGAGGCAACCAATTGATGTGTGTCTCACATCGATGTTTCTCCCCTCACCCCCGCCCCAACTCTACCTAAAGATAAATGTTGAAAAAGTATTCTCGGGTGAGGATTAAAAAAGAAAAACATGCAAACCTTACTAGTTGGGCACTGACCTCTTTTCCTTAGATTGTCAAATAAAAAAATGACAATAGCAAACACAATAACTCTGGTGTGAATGAATCAAAATTATACCTTTTTGTGTGTGTGTCAGATTAGCAAAAAATCTAGATAATTTTGGTGAGTCACAGAATTTTAGTAATTTATGTGTACCATGAGATGGAAAAGGTTGAAAATCGCTGACTTAAAATGTACATTTCAAGTTCCTCCAACTCTTCATACCTTTATAGCTCATTTCTTTTTAGTGCTGAATCAATATTCCATTGTCTGGAAGGTACCACAGTTCATTCACGTACTGAAGGACGTCTTGTTTGATTTCAAGTTTGACAATTATGAATAAAGCTGCTATAAACATCCATGTGCAGGTTTTTGTGTGGACATTAGTTTCCAATCAGATGGTTTTCTTTTTTATTTTATTTTTTTTAAGCTGTTTGTTTTGTTTTGTTTTTTTATCCTCACCCGAGGACATTTTTCGATATTTTGTTCAGATAGAGTGAGAGGGAGAGAGAGAGAAACATCAACGTGAAAGCGACACATCGAGTGGTTGCCACTCACACGACCCAACCAAGGCTGGGGACAAACTGCAACCAAGGTACGTGCCCTTAGCGGGAACCGAACCCGGGTCTCTCCGGACCGCAGGCCGACGCTCTAACCGCTGAGCCAAACCGGCCAGGGACAGATGGTTTTCTTACTGGTGACTTCTAAGAGTTCCTTGTATATTTTGGGTAACAGTCCTTTATCAGGTGTTTCTTTTGCAAGTATTTTCCCCCAGTCTGTGGCTTGTAGTCTGTGTCCTTTGTAGAGCAAAAGTTAATTTTATTTATGTATTTATTTAATCCTCACCCAAGGATATTTTTCTATTTATCTCCAGATAGAGTGGGAGGGAGGGAGGGGGAGAGAGAGAGAGAGAGGGGGGGGGGGGAGAGAGAGAGAAACATCAACAGGGAAGAGACACATTGACTGGTTGCCTCCCACATGACTTGGACCAGGGCCAGGGGTGAACTGCAACTGAGATATGTGCCCTTGACCAGAATTGAACCCACAACTCATTGGTCCAAGGGCCAATACTCTAACCGCCAGCCAAACCAGCCAGGGCCAGAAAGAAGTTAATTTTTACAGTTTTTTGTGTATTGATTTTCGAGAGAAAGGGAGAAATGTGGATTTGTTGTTCCCCTTATTCATTGGTTGCTTCTTGTATGTGCCCTTACCAGATATTGAACCTGCAACCTTGGCATATTGGGACAGCACTAACCAACTGAGCTTCCTGGCTAGGGCTGAAGTTAATTATTTGAAAATTTTTATTTTTTTTTTTTTTATTTATTTATTTATTTATTTATTTATTTATTTATTTATTTATTTATTTATTTATTTATTTTTATCCTCACCCGAGGATATTTTTCCATTTTTTGTACAGATAGAGTTGGAGGGAGAGAGAGAGAGAGAAACATCGATGTGAAGAGACACATCGAGTGGCTGCTACCCGCACGACCAACCAGGGCCGGGGACAAACTGCAACCGAAGTACGTGCCCTTAGCGGGAACCGAACCTGGGTCTCTCCGGACCGCGGGCCGACGCTCTAACCGCTGAGCCAAACCGGCCAGGGACAGATGGTTTTCTTACTGGTGACTTCTAAGAGTTCCTTGTATATTTTGGGTAACAGTCCTTTATCAGGTGTTTCTTTTGCAAGTATTTTCCCCCAGTCTGTGGCTTGTAGTCTGTGTCCTTTGTAGAGCAAAAGTTAATTTTATTTATGTATTTATTTAATCCTCACCCAAGGATATTTTTCTATTTATCTCCAGATAGAGTGGGAGGGAGGGAGGGGGAGAGAGAGAGAGAGGGGGGGGGGGGGAGAGAGAGAAACATCAACAGGGAAGAGACACATTGACTGGTTGCCTCCCACATGACTTGGACCAGGGCCAGGGGTGAACTGCAACTGAGATATGTGCCCTTGACCAGAATTGAACCCACAACTCATTGGTCCAAGGGCCAATACTCTAACCGCCAGCCAAACCAGCCAGGGCCAGAAAGAAGTTAATTTTTACAGTTTTTTGTGTATTGATTTTCGAGAGAAAGGGAGAAATGTGGATTTGTTGTTCCCCTTATTCATTGGTTGCTTCTTGTATGTGCCCTTACCAGATATTGAACCTGCAACCTTGGCATATTGGGACAGCACTAACCAACTGAGCTTCCTGGCTAGGGCTGAAGTTAATTATTTGAAAATTATTTTTTCCTTATTGATTTTAGAGAGAGAAGAAGGGAGAGGGAGAATTAGAAACATCGATGAGAGAGTATATAGATGGGCATGCCCCCCACTGGGGACTGGGCCCACAACCTGGACATTGCCCTGATCAGGAATCAAACCAGTGACCTCCTGGTGCTTGGGTCTATGCTCAGCCAGTAAGGCACACCATCTGGGCTTAAGCAAATTTGTAGATCATACTATAAATTCTCCCTTGTTGACAAGATAAGGATCCCAGCTCCAGAGCCAGACTGCCTAGATTCAAATCTAGCCCTTAAACTGCATGACCTTGGAATGTCACTAAACCTCTGTGCTTGCCTATGTTATTTATAAAACTAAGGAAGTTAATAGTATTTACCTAGCGTTATAGTTTGCATGAAAAACAATTAGAATGTGGCCTAGATTCTACATAA